TGGATCTTCTAATGATGCCCTTTCTCTTTTAGACAAGGTGCAAAAACGCATTGTAAGCATAGTTGGACCTGCTCTTGCAGCCAACCTTCAACCTCTGTCACATCGTCGTAATGTTGCTTCTCTTTCTCTTTTCTACAAATTCTACAATGGGCACTGCTCTAAAGAGCTAGCGTCTCTTGTGCCATCTACAAAAATTCATTCTCGTGTTACTCGTCATTCAACTAAGTCTCATCCTTTTTCTGTTACTGTCCCTAAGTGCTCCAAAAACTCTTATTTGTCTAGTTTTTTGCCTCGAACATCAGTTCTTTGGACTTTGCTTCCTTCATCTTGCTTTCCTGATTCATATAATTTGCAATCTTTTAAGTCGTCTGTCAATCGTTATCTTGCTCTACAATCTTAATCTTTTCTCTTCCAGTAACTTCCAACACAAATCAGTGGTTGCTTGCAGCTTTGTTGGAAGCGAAGATGTTAAAAAAAACAAAAAAAAAACAATAATTACAGCTAAAGATTTGATTATAGAGTGGACATTAGTAGGAAAAAAATTAAAAATATTAAATCAAAAATCTTCCTTAGATTACAATGAAGTTTTAAAGTTTTATTATTAGTTTAATTACTTAATTTTTTTGAATTTTATTTACATAAATATGTAAATATGTATACACAGGGCCGTAGAGAGCCAAGCCGGGCCCTGGGGTAAATTTTTGGTGGGCCCCCTTTATCTTACATTAATATTCATATCCATATTGAAAACATCAAACTTAAAGTCTATTACGTGCCTTTAGTCTAACTTAAATCAAAATCAATCTAAAGTCTAGGACTAGATGTGTCTTTAATTAGTTAGGTTGGTCAACGAATCCTTTATTTTTTTTAACAAGTTGCATTTGTTAGAATTTTTTTTTAATTTTTTATTAAATTCACCTTCTCAAGGCCGAGGGGTCACTATAGTCGAGGAGGCTACTCATTTTTTTGTTTTTATTTTTTATTTTTTGTTGTTAATTGTGGTACAACCTCTCTCAACTTTTTAACTCAGAAACACGAACTTTGGCAAGCAAGGTCGCTGCGCGGTGTAACTAAGTTTACTTAGCAAAAAACTTTGTAATAAAAAGCTTTTTAATTAAGTAGCCTTTTCTTTAATATTTTTACTATAAGTAATTAACTTGATATAATATAATAAAGAAGAGAATGTAAATTAAAATAAAAAGTGTTAATAAAGACTCTAATTTCTCTAAGAGAGTTTTACAGACAAACAAGTATATTCTTTGGTTTTGTTTAAAAAAAAAGAATATTTTGAATTCTTCAAAATAAATAATTGTATTTAATTGTACTGCAATTAACCAAAATAAGCTTTGCGAGATTTTTTGCTTGCAAAAAGTTCAATAACTGCATCAAAGTCTAGTTTCCTTGCAAGTGGCGCCTCAATCACTAGTCTTCCCAAATTAGAAAGTCGATCTTGACACATCGTAGAACGTAAAACATTTTTAACTCTTGCAAGTGTGCTGAAAGAGCGTTCTGCTTGTGCAACGGTAACTGGAAGTGTACAAAAAATTCTAAGAACAACTAAAATGTTTGGGAAAAGAGAAATCAATGTTTCAATTATTAAACAAACTAAAATGTTTGGGAAAAGAGAAATCGCCATTTCAATTATTAAACAAACTCCATGAGTTGAATCTAGCTTCAACTCATGGAGTTTGTTTAATAATTGAAACGGCGATAATTGTATTATGCCAAGATTTGATGCGTGAGTTGCCTTTAAATGTTCTAACTCGTCTATTAAATCGAGAGAAACATCAATGCTGTATTTAACGCAAATAGATGAAGCTTTCTCACGCAGCAGATCTTTATCTAATGTCATGTATTTCCATACAAAACCAAATGTTTCCTCAAGATCTTTGGCTGCCTTAAAACGCCGATTCATATTACCAAATATTAACACAGTCTAAAAGAACATAAAAAACATCGCGCTTGAAACAAAATTCTGCACTGGTGTTGCCTAATTTATTAATCTGTTCCTCATCTGAAAATCTAGCTTTTCGGCTGCGTTTTTTCTCCGGGTATAAGTCATTGGAAACCGTACCCAGATTTTTTGGCAACAAGTTTACATTCATTTAAAATTGAATCCCAGTTGTTTCTCAATAATAAGAGCTCATCAATTAAGCTTTTTAAATTTAAAACCTCCACATCTAAAGTTGCATCTCTGGCTTGCAGAACTTTGTTTCTGTTATTGATGTTAGTTAGAGCTTTAAACCAAGTACTTGCGAGTATAATGCACTCAAATGAACCCAAGTATTTCTCAATACGTTTGATATCTGATCGAGTCTCGGCAGTAAGATTTAGCTTCTTTAAGTCTTGGGTAGCACTCTTTAAACCAGGAATATGTTCTGCATAAAGTTTTACACTTTCAATCCTGGCTGACCAACGTGTATCTGGCATGCTATGCAAAGAGCATCCAATGTTTTCTTTTAAAATTTGCCATCTTTGTGGGCTAGAGCTGAACAAGTTATAAGTCTTTTGCACAGCACCTAAGAAGTTTATAACCTCTGCACAGCACTCTGTGGCATGGACACCACACAGATTTAAGCTATGACAAGCACATGGAGAATAAATTGCCAATTGGTTCTCTTTAATTATCTCTGCTTGTGCTCCTTTATATTGACTGCTCATGTTGCTACCGTTGTTATAACCTTGACCACGACAGTCTATCATTGATGTATTGTGTTTTTTAATAACACTGCAAATTAATTGAGCAATAGCTTTCCCCGTTTTCTGATTGCAGTCAAAAAACTCTAGAAATTGCTCTTAAACTTCGTAAAGACTATTTTCTTTATTTAAATAAACATAACGCAATATAAATATAGTTTGTTCCATATGTGCTGAATCAGGGGTTGCATAAACAAGTATTGAGTAATATTTTGCTGCTTCTCGTTCACTTAGAATAACGTCTAATACTTTTTTGGCACAACACTCTATAAACTCATTTTGTATTTCCGGTGAAAGGTAATTTGCTTGTTGTCTTCTCTTCAATTTCTGCGACTTCGTCACTTTGTTCAGATGGTCTTTCAAGACAGAATCATAATGGCTCAAGAGCTCTAAAATGCCCAAAAAATTGCCATTTGCTGCAACTCCAACTAAATCACTTGTTCCTCTAAATCTCAAGCCTTGTCGGCTAGAAACAATGTGACATCTAAAATTCAGCGAAGAACCTGTATGCACTGTGATGCTTGATTCTTAATGGTCTGCAGCAGCATAATATCGACAGTGGAATTAGAGTCAATACTTTTTTCTAATAGCCGCCATTTAATATAACAATATTTATGGTTGCTGCTGTTTTGATGCTCTCGAATTTTGTCTGTAATTTTGTCATTTTCTTTGAAAACAATACCCAGATATAGTTGTTAAACGTGAGCGACTTGCTGTTGGTAGTTTGCTAAAAAGGCAAAAACAAAATATCGATTGTTTAACTTTGCTCCAAACAAGCCAATCATGGGGAACATATTCTCCATTTTTCATACTTGTATGTAGTATACAAACAGGAAAAGAATGTACGTTCACATCTTTTGGAAATTGAGATGGGATCTTTTCTGGACCCCTACGAACTGCTTCCTCAATTTCAGAAGCATTTGGTCTTTCATTTTTTAGACTACCAACATCAAAGTCAAGCAGTTTTGTTTTAGTAATTTTATTATCAGTTATATTTGATTTATAATTTTCAGAGATTTTGTTGATAGGAACTAAAAGATTGCCGGGCTCCATGTCATCTTTATTTTCTATGTTATCAGGATCTGGAAAGTCGGCAGTCACATTAATTAAATCTGCAGCTTGTTCAACAACATTGTTGTTATTGTTAAAATTAGCTTCTACATTATGATATTCATTTTCTGAATCTTTCTCTTTCGAAGACACTGAAAATCCATCACTTTGAAGTAGAGTTTGTTTTTCATTTACATTTTTCAATCTCGACAATTTTTCTTTCCTTTTTTGAGATCCAGATTTGTGATGGTAGTTCATTTTTTATTTGACTACTAAATAAGATTTTATATAAATTGGCATTAATTATCATTCGGTAAATAAAACATTCTCTATATGATATAATATACCATATTAAAGATATGTCATTGATATATCGATGGTATGTATTATAAAGCAATATGTCCAACAAACACTCCTAAACATTAGTGTAGTGAGGGGAGACCAAACCGGAAATGGCCCCTGTCACAAAGGCTTTATGAGGCCCAAAAAATTGAGGAGCAAAAAAAAAATGAAACCAATTTTAAAATAAAAAGTAATATTTTCTTAATTTTATTGTAAAAAAGCGCATTTATTTCATTTTTGCCCCGGTCGCAAAAATATTCGCTACGTCACTGATCTTAAGCGTCATATAATTTATTAAATAAAGCAATTTTTATAATTGAATGTTTTATACCTTATAACAAAACTCCATATACAACTGATTAAACTTTAACATAAAAATAAACTAAACTGTAGAATCAAATAGACAATTTTCTGGCATTCTTTGTCTTTTATTTTAAAATACCGCAAGTGATTTAATGTTCTGCAAATGATCTAAAGTACTCGAATTATATAAACTATAAATGCTTCCAAATAATGTGTTCAAAGTATATTTTTTACTACATAATTTTTTTCTTGAGATATTTTCCTTTTGATTTATTTCCGAATAACTTAGCTTACAAAATTTATAAAATATTTATTATGTTTTGCATTTAAATTTAACGTTTACGGTGATACTAATGTTAAAAACTGTAAAATTAGAACAACCAATCTAAATGCAATATATTTAAAAAGGTAAGTATAATACTTTATAATTCACAAGTCCAGGCCCTTGAACAGAGCCGGGCCCCAGGACAATATACCCCCTTGACCCCTCCCCCCCTTCCTCTCTACGGCCATGTGTATACATAAATAAATTTTTCATACATTTTATTATCTTCAAATAAAGTTTTGTAAAATGTTTTTTGCTTATCATTTTTATTTTTTTAATTTAGAAACCAAACTATACTATAAAGTACACATTGACTGGTCACACAAAAGCAATATCTTCTGTAAAGTTTAGTCCAAATGGAGAATGGTTGGCTACAGCTTGTAAGTCTTAAAAAATAAAATTTATTTTCAAGTGAATATGTAAAACCATATATATAAATAATATATATAAATATTCAAGTGAATATGTAAAACCATATAATATAAAATCAATTTGATTATAATAAATATAATTATTGTTAAGGAGAAAAACAAAACAAAAAACGTAAAAAACTAAAATATAGAACATTTTCATTATTTTATTATAATAAAAACTTCTTTATTTTAAAAAATTTAAAAGCTATAAAGTAAAATTCACAACAAAAATTAGTTTGTTGTGAATTTATAAATACTTTATTTTGATGATTTGTGATCAAATCATCAAAATAAAGTATTTTTTGGCATGGTCATATAATTGTGTGCGATCGCACGTCTTCCTGTGAAACACTGATACTAAAATTTTATAAAATCATTTAAATTTTGAAAATGCGCTTAAAACAATCTCATTGTTTACAATATCCTACTTTAGTTTGCTTAGTTGATGAATATTAAATATGACGTATTAAATTTTTTGCTTTACTTATTTAGATTACATTCATTTTACAAATCCTTTAATAAATAAAATAATCCTTTTTTCATATATGATTAAAGTTCTTATTTTATTAATATTAAAATAAATATATTTAGTTTATTATATCATTCTAACAATAATATAATAATATAAAACAATTTTTGTATTTAGAACATTTTTTCTTTTAACCAAGCCTTCCCGGGAAGCGTGTGCGGTTGCACGCCTTGTTAGTCCATGCTTAAAGTAATTTTTTTAGACACTGATCATGGCAGTTTGCATCTTTTAACTAATAAAGTGTTTCAATAATTTGTGGCAAAAAGCTAAACTTATCTACTGAGGAAAAAAAAAATCCTAAAAAAAAGGAAATAAGTTGTAACAAAATATCAAATTTTAATTAAATAAACTAGAAAATTAAATAACTAAAAAAAGTAAATTAAATAAAAAAATATAATTTTTATACAACTTTTGTATTCTTTTTTTCAGAGTGGTTGTTGTTTTTATCAACCAAACCTGATACAAGTTGATGAAAAAAAAACATTACTTTTAATGATTGTTTAAAAAATACTCACACTTGATTGTTTAAAAAATACTCACACTTGATTGAAATAATAGTTTTATTTTACTAATTTAAAAATATCAGTTTTTCTTTTAAATTTGTTTCAAAAGATTAACATTTATCATAAAAAATACTTGGTTATATAAATAAAAAAAACAGTTTATTGATACCTAATATAAATATTAATTAGAAGTTTTTTGTTACTTCATTGAAAAGCGTTTCGATAATACAAAAGCAATAAAGATCAAATTGTAACGGCTTTCAAAAATATTTTAATTTTATTTTTCATCAAAAAATTTTTAATTTTTTAAATGTATTATTCTTATATAAAATTCATTCAAAAGACTTTAGTTATCTTAGAGTCATCATTTACAAAAGCAAAATAATTTTATTTTTAATAATATTTATTATAAAAATACTTAACTAATTTATATAATATAAATTTAGAAAATTATATACAACTCTTAATTATACTTGATACTTTATTTAAAAGCGTTTCGCTAATATAAAAATGTTCGTCAAGAAGTTTTGTTGTAATTTATTTCACTTAAGGTATAGTTTAAAATATTTTTTATTCAGTGCGTTTTTTAAATGTTTTTTGAAATAGTCGCGATCAAATCTTCAAAGCAAAAAGTAATTTGCCTGGTCATATAATGACATGCACGTCTTGTGTCCTGTGAAACACTTTGTATATACATTTTCCAAAAACTTCCTAATTTTTTGTCACACCCTTTTTTTTTGGTCACCAATTTTTCTGTTCAAAATATATATATATATATATATATATATATATATATATATATATATATATATATATATATATATATATATATATATATATATATATATATATATATATATATATATAATATGGCCATTCCCAAACATTGAGGAATGTTTTGGAATGGCCATATTATATATATATATATATATATATATATATATATATATATATATATATATATATATATATATATATATATATATATATATATATATATATATGTATGTATGTATGTATGTATGTATGTATGTATGTATGTATGTATGTATGTATATATATGCAAATAGTATTGTGTACTAAGGTAAGCAATCTGATGTCATACTGAAATAGCCTGCTACTGGAGGCTTCAGTATATAGGTCGACTGACAAATAGCCTGACTTGCAGTGGAGTGCTGCTACATCAACTGAGGGTTTGGGATGGGGCAGCAATCGTTTCATTCATCATTCTTTGGTTTTTTTCTTCTTTTTCTAAAAAAGTTGTATGGATGAAGGTAAGCAAAAAAAGTGACCAAATGCCTATAAAAATATGCTTTAGTAAGTGTGTGTATATATATATGTGTATATATATATATATATATATATATATATATATATATATATATATATATATATATGTGTGTTTGAGAAATGCAGTATATTTGGATTATCCCATTGGGATATGATATTGTTTCCCATTTTTTTATTTTTGCAGTAGATAGTCACAAGTTGGCATTAACAATATCAAGATACATTAAAGAATCCATTTTGTTATCAATAACTTAATTTCCCCACTCCTTTCAAACTACTCCTTTCCCAAACCATTATATTTTCTCCTGCATGCTTCACAGTACAAACAAATTGTTTTATTCACTTCTCCTTTTTTTTTTGCCCGACTTTCTGGAATCTATATGACTACAAAGCTTTCTTCCAATATGATATCATCATTTTTTTTAGTTATTTGCAAACTCTAATATAATTTTTATTTCAATTATCTACTAATTTATTAGTAGATAAAAAAATTTATAACAGGCAAGCCTTCGAAGGAAAGGCGTGCGATTTTTCGATTATGACCACATGCAAGTATTTTGTTTTAAACAACTTGGTCACGGCCGTTTGCAAGTTTTATATTATTCATTGCAGAAAAAGTTTCGAAAACAAAAAAAGAAACTAACAATATAGGAAATAGAAAAAAATAAAAATGAATTAATAATTTAAATAATTTGTGTACTGTTTTTATTTTTGTTTCTTTAGAGTGATTTTTACATTCAGCAAAAAAAAGGCGAAGCATAAAAAAAACAAAACAGTTTTAGGCCTACAATAAAAAGAATGATTTTCAGAAAAAGTTATAAAAAATAAAACAATCAACTTACAACTACAAAAGTAATAACACTCTAGTAACTGCATTATAAAAGTAATAACAGTATAATAGTGTTATTACTTTTATAACGTACTTATAACTTTTATAATTCATTCTTTGTTTAAACAACATAAGTAATCCCAAATTTTAATAAAAGTAGAAAAGCATCTAGCAAATAGATATTCAAATTATATTTAAAACTAAAGGAACTTAAACAACTTTATAAAAACATACTGTATATAGAGTTTAGCATTATGAAAAATGTTACTAGTGGTCCGTAAAAACATGCGTTAAACTTAAAATCGACCTATAAAATTTTTTCATTGGTTGATTTTATATAAGTTAAAACATCTGTTTTAGTATATAAACTTATCCTTATAAAATTCTTTATAAAATACAATATTTCTAGGGGTTATATATACCCTTGTTATTCAAGTAATTATGATTACTTGAATGAACACCCAAATAAATAACTGGAGTATTTAATAAAGTTGGCTAAAACTTGATATTATTTTGTCTTGCAAGGTGTAACATCCTATGTATCCAAAAACTGTGTTGGTCATCACATCCTAGATTCATTTAATTTTATAAATAACTCTTTCCAATCAAGTTATTACATTAGTTTTTTATCTAATATTTTGTTGACGTAGGCAATTTGCATGTATAAATGACAGTCACTAGATTCTCCAACAGCTTGCTTGAATTCAAATCAATTTGCTTATTTCCAGAAACTTTGGTTTTATAAAACAGCTAATAAATATTTTACACCCATTACATAGCAATAAAAATCTTAAAACTTTTAATAACTTGTTTTAAGTATAATCTAAAGTATTATCTTTAAAATTCATGGGCATACATATAGTGCTTATACAGCTGATACTAGTAATATTAGCTAAACTTGTGATTTCAATTGAATATGAGAAGTTGCTTCAATTGACATGTAATGTTTTCCAACACTATAAGAAGTTGTTTCGATTGACAAGTAATGTTTTTTAACATTGAGAATTTGCCTTGATTTACATGTAATGTTTTTCTACTCTAGCCTTGATTGACATGTAATGTTTTTCTACTCTAGCCTTGATTGACATGTAATGTTTTTCTACTCTAGCCTTGATTGACATGTAATGTTTTTCTACCAATTTTGCATACAACCATAGTTTATTTGGCATTTGATTTGGTTAAAAAAGTAGACCCAGAAATCAATTTCTGAATCTTTGTTAGTTGTTTTAAAACATATAAAAGAGCTGATACTTAATGTTACCATGAACAAGCTCATAAGAACATGTATGACATCTATAGACATATGAAAGGAATACATTTTCTATCTGTTTTATACAATTATATTACATTGTATTAATTTTAAATTAAAAAAAAGTTATATTCAGCAATTCCAGGAACAAGAAACATTATTTATACTAAAATCTCTAATTGCTTTACAGATGAGAAAAATGTTATTTGACAATGTTTATTTAAATCGAAATATTAATACTTTCTTTCACCAAGAGTTTATGTGGAATGTGTTTATGATGCAAAATAATTTTGGGAAAACATTGTTGAAGTATCTGAAGAAAATTAAGAAAATGTTATAAAGTTCATGAAGCAATCTATTCTCTCAAAAAATTTTAGTTACCCATATTTTCTCCAATAACACATTTTATGCAAAGTTTTGTCTTTTAAAGTTGAATGCTGATTGAAGGTAGATGCTATGAACCATCAACCTAAGAGACAACTGAAATTTTACATTTGTGCTATAACATAGTTTTATAATAACATGATTATTATTTTAAATTTGATTTATTTGGTTTTTATTTCTCTATTTTCAGTATGTGCTTTTCAAAAGTAACTTATTTGTTAGATTTGATAGTCTAAGTAAAATAAAGATTTATTACTGCAAAAAATAGTTTTCTGTTATTAGTTGTGCTTTTCTCTTTCCTGAAAGTTGTATAACTTATATGTTTTATATAACTTATATGTTAATATATCTTAATTATGCTAATTATCTTAGTACCAGATTTAATGTTTTCATAAAAATCTTTGAAATCTTAGGGGATTGAAAAAATGTTGAAAAATTATTTTTTAAATGTTCTTTATGTTGTTGTTTTTTATTTTACTTTAGCTGCAGATAAACTTATTAAAATATGGGGTGCATATGATGGTAAATTTGAAAAAACAATTGCAGGGCATAAACTGGTAAGTTGATAAACTTGTTACCATAGTTTTTAAAGAATATTGGTTTAAATATTAATGATTTATATAAATATTTTGAACCAAAATGATGAATGCCAAAAAGTTCTTGAAAAATGTTTTGAATTTTTGTTAAATATTAATAGTATAATAAAACTTTTGAATTTAGTTCAAATTAGTCCAAAGTTTTTTTACTATTTATTTAGTTTTTTTATTTTATTGTAAAATAATATAGACATTTTTTTAAACTAGTTTTTAAATCCTGTGACTTTTGTATCAAACTGTTTAAGAACCACCTGCTAATTTTTTTAATTTAAAAGTGTCATTGCTTTATGCATTATTTGCGTTTTCTGAAGATCTCCTACTACCTAGCGTTGCATAATTTATGGATGATCCCCTAGATATTTTTTAAACATGTTTTATATAAATATGTATTTAAAATTTCTTAATGTTATTTTAATATAGCATCAACTAGTAAAGAATATAACAGTAAAATAAAATACAAAATATTTAGGGTATATCTGACTGTGCTTGGTCTTCTGACTCAAAATTGCTTGTATCAGCTTCAGATGATAAAACATTAAAAATATGGGCCTTGATTACTGTAAGTTTTATTTTTATTAGTTTATAACAATGTTTATTAACTAAGAATTATTTTTTATGAGTAATTTAGGAAGAAAAAAATTAAAAAAAAGGTAAAGACATAATAAAAATTAATTTGTTTAGGGTAAATGTTTAAAAACATTAAAAGGTCACAGTAATTATGTGTTTTGTTGCAACTTTAACCCTCAATCAAATCTTATTGTATCTGGTTCCGTAAGATTTTCTTTATTACACAACCTTTGTTTTTCTATTTTCTAGATATTAAAGAAAAAAAAATTTATGTTGCTTTAAAAATAAAATTTTTTTTCAGTTTGATGAAAGTGTACGAATATGGGATGTAAAAACAGGAAAATGTCTTAAAACACTTCCTGCTCATTCAGATCCTGTATCAGCGGTAGATTTTAACAGAGATGGTGCATTAATTGTTTCAAGTAGCTATGATGGGTTATGCAGAATTTGGGATACAGCATCAGGACAGTGTTTAAAAACTTTAATAGGTAACATTTTTTTTAGTCTGACATTTAAAATGTGATTTTAAATAGTATTTAGAAAATTATCCTTGGATTTTATTTGTTCAATACAATTTTTTATAGATAAAATTTATCTAGTTGATTATGCATTTTAATCTTTTATAAATTATACAAGTTTTAAAACTGTTGCCCAGGTAGACATATAAAACAAGGCGAACTTGGAGATTAAACTTCTTTAATCACAAAAACATATTCTATTAGAATGGAAAAGGGAAACGACTTCATCAATTTTCCTCTCTTCAACTTCAAAACAACTTCTTCAATTTTCCATGTGTGCTCTAATAAAATCATTTTCCCTCTGTGTGCTCCGTGATAAAATCATTTCCTCTCTGTGTGTGCTCTGTGATAAAAATCATTTTCTTAGAGTTTCCTTAACTAAAACAAACATATATATTTGTGTATTTTTTTATAGATGATGAAAATCCTCCAGTTTCATTTGTGCGTTTTTCCCCAAATGGAAAATATATTCTTGCAGCTACATTAGACAAGTAAATGATTTTTATATAAAATAAAATTCCATTATGTTAAATTTTAATTTTAGAGGTGTTTGTGATTTTATTTTATTTTTGAAATCTAAATTGATAAAAATAAAGTAAAATATAAATTCAACTATTTTATTTTATTATAAAATAAAATAGTTGAACCATGATGTGCTACATCTACACGGTAAGATAACTTGCTTATCTTTAAAAAAAAAATTGGGCAGGCAGGCTTTGTCGGGAAACGGGTGCGATTGCACTCGATAATTGACCATGGAAATAATATTTAGCAAAAAACCGGCCAGATTTTTTAGGCGTTTTAAGAATATTTCAAAAACAAACAAAAAAGCTCAACAAGATTAACTGGACCGATGAGAGACAGTTAAAAAAAGAAAAATAGCTTTTAACGCGAGCAAAATAAATACGATTAGTGCAAGTATTTTTGCTCTTTTATAATTTTTTATATAAAGTAAAAACTTACTATTAATGATTGTTTAATAAGAAAACAAATGTTCTTCGATTTATCAAAGAGTATATATAATTTTTATTTATATACTTATGTCTTATTTCCAGTGCTGGATTGTAGAGGTGGTTGGATGGGGGGGTTGAAAGGCTATAGCCCCGGGACTTATTGTTAGGGGCCGCGAAATAGTCAAGAGGACCATTAGGTATTTTTTTAATCATTTTTACGCTGTGGCACTTAAAAAAACCCACCAAAATAATGCGACCCCTGACCCTGAAAAGTCCAACAAGATTCAACTAATAAAACTAACACTAGATGATTTATTTATAAATAAAAAAGTTTTTTCAATATCTGTTTTATGCTTCGCGTAGATTGAAAAGTTTAACATATTTGAAATAATTCTTTTTAGCAAGATGAACAAATGTTTAATAATTAAATCATTAAATAACTAAATCATTGAGTTACTATAGAAATTCAATTAGCTAGAAATAAATAAATTAAAAACATTAAAGTACTTTTTGATGAGGAAACAGAACTGCTTCACAATACCCCTGATGATGTTTGGTGGGTGGGTTATATAATTTTAATTAGTATTTAAAACAGAAAAAAGTAACTTTAAGTTTAAGTATCACGTGTTGTAAGAATGGCTGAAGCAAAAATAATTGAAGTTAGTAAACCAATTTCTAAAAAACTTAAAAACTTTTCTTTCTTGGGGGAAAGAATCAGTTATCAGGTACACTGAGGAAAATGGATCAGTGGTTAAAATTATTCGTATTAACTTTGATGATTGTTAATAATTTCATTAAAAACGCAGTTATTATTGAAAGTATTTTTGTTTACAAAATCAATCGCACAAATTGCGTTAAAAGTTTACATTTGAATAAAATACACATGTATAAAAATACATACATTAAAATTACATACAGGAAATTACATTACATACATAAAAATACATTACAAACATAAAAAATACATCCCTTATAAATAAAAAACAAGAATATACTAATAAAATAATATATTTACAAAACGTGGACAAATTAAAAAATATAAATTTAAAACATTTATTTTTGTAAACAAATAATGTTAGTTTAAAACAATTATAGCTTTGTAGATGTGGCTCCGAGAATAAAAATATAGTTTGTTTGATAGCATATTTTTAAAACAAATTATGCTAGAAATCTCAACGAAAACATAACAAAACTCAAATAATACAATTTTTAAAAATATTTTAACAAAATACTCTAGAACAATCGGTTAGTATTTTTTGAACCAATAGAATTAATGTTCGTAGATTTGGCGGGTTTTTTTGTTGTGTTCGCAATTATTATTTTTTATTTTTCTGCACAAAGATGTTTGAGAACATTCGAGTTAATATGTTTCCATGTATGTCGGTAAAACAAAATATTCTAAAACTTACGAACTTTATTATTTTGCAGGCAAACAAGGAAACATACATAAACTTGAATATTCTAAAAAAGACTAAAAAATCTGGCTGGTTTTTTGCAAATAAATATTATTTCCGTGGTCAGTTATCAAGTGCGATCGCACCTGCTTCCCGACCAAGCCTGGGCAGGTAGCTTTTCAAAACATAAGTTTATCTCTAGTATTATGGTTGATTAAATTTACTGTGGTTAAAACATAGTATTATGATTGGTTACACTTACGGTGGTTGAAACTGTCCTCTGGAGACGTCCAAGCAAATAGTTATTTTCTAGAAATCCAAAAAGTAAATGTTTCCTTGAAACAAAATTGATTTGGTTCTCTTGCTTTTTATAACCAGGTTTATAAGAAACTAAAGGACAGGCATTAACTATTTTATAGTAGATGATGATTGGATTCCAGGGGTCGTAAAAAAAAGTACTAACTCCGACTCAAATTGTTGAAATTTTCAGAGTCTGACTCCAAGTTCGACTTCAAAGCAAAATTTTTGAATTTTTTTTTTTTTGCCAAATATAAGAAAAATTCTTTGAAGGTTAAATATTTTGTTCATGCATGCACAATACGGAGAAGTTTCACTATTGGCGTTGGAGTCACAATTTTCTTAGCGACTCCGACTCCACTAAAAATGTTTCAACTCCACAGCCCTGTTGGATACAAAACATTTTAAGTTCAAAAAAAGTTTTCAAATTTTTAGATTTTTAGAAAAGAAAATCAGGTTTTTTCAAAAATTAACAAAAGTAGCTTTTTTGTTTTGAAATAAAAATGTAATTTAACAGCCTTAATAGAACAATTTTTATTTTGCTTATTGATTAATTATGTTAATGAGAAAAATTAAAAACAACTTACTATTTCTTTAAAACTTAAATTTTTATTTTATTAAATCGTTAATTAATATATAAATTAATATAAAATTTTATAAATAGAGTTTAGTTAAGCTTTTGTTTTTAATATGAAGTGATCTATTTGAAATTACTTAAATCAAAAAGTTCTATATTTGATTTCAAAAGAGAAAAGAAAGTTTGACATCTATTTGTTTACCATAGTTATCTTTTTTTTTTTTTTTCTTTCACAAAATCCTATAAGGTCTATAAAACTTTTTGGATAGTAAATAAAAACAGAGGAAGTGATGGCATAACCACATATGGAGGCACAACAGTTTTTTAATATTTCCTAATGAAAAGTATCTAATATAGCAGCAAACATACCTTGCGTTAGTAGAACAGTTATCCTCATTTTGTTAATGTAAATAAAAGTGCCGATGAATTTCTGAGAAGTTGTGCATAATATTGCTTGTTTTGATAAAAATGTTATGTTTACATCATATTTCTCCGGTCATTTTTTTTGTGGATTAAGCAAAATTTGATTTTAGTATTAAAGATACCACGCAAATAATGTACTCCAACAATTTAATGATAAGATAACCCAGCTAACACAAAACGTTCAACGAACGTTCAAGAACGTTCTATGAACGTCCTTAGAACGTACTCGAACGTTCACAACGTTCGTTGAGCGTTCGTGAACGTTTTGTGTTATCTGGGAATGTACCACGAAAAGTGTTCCCTAACAATTTTTGTCAGGGTGCGGTTGTGCCTCACAATGTGGGTACAACTGTTTTTTTCACTAAGTGTAATTTTTGTGTAATAACATTTTCAAAACCTGTTTTATTTTTTTCTAAATTGTTGCAATTCAAAGCTTATTAATGTGATTATTGAATTAAGCTGTTAAAAGCACATTTCGTTTTTATTTCATTTAACATTAATCCAAACTTTACGTGGGTGGTTATGCCCCCACTTCCCCTATATGTTTAAATTTAAAAAAAACAACAGGTATATCAAGACATTCTTTTTAACAATGTATGATTTGTTATTTTGTGTAATGATTTGTGTAACAATTTATGATTTTTCATTTTGTGTAACAATTTCATTTTGTGTAACAATGTATCGTTATCAGGAGTATGCTGATAACGATAGCAATACGATTTATATTAAAAAAATTATATCGCGCTTGTTTTTTTGATACTGATAAATCAAAAATGTCATTTTGCATTGTCAATATGACATTTTGTCATCATTGTCATCATTGATTTAAAAAAAATTGTAAATTGTGCTATTAATCTGTTAAAAATTTGTTAAAAACTCTATCAGCTAAACTAATATGAATGGTTCAAGTTGTAAGTTTATCTTTTGTATTTCAAATTATATCACAACAATATCATCAATCTTTGCATCATTTCACACGTTTTTTTTTCACACTTTTTCGATATCAATCTTAAGTACTTGAGAATTGTTGTTTTTTATTTTATATTATTTTAGTTTTGCTTTTGCGATAATCTTGCAATTTTGAGATATTGGTGTTGCGATTATCCAACCCTTAATTTTTTGTAACGATGCATGATTTTTTATTTTGTGTAACAATACTTAAATGATTTTAGTATTTACTATAACCACTAAAATCTTTTTAGTACATTGAAACTTTGGGATTATAGCAAAGGAAAGGTAAATATTACTTAGTTAATAATATATTGTTTTATAAATAGTTTCTTATATATAATTTGAAGGAAATATTGAATTATTTAAATAGAACAATGTATTGAACAGTTTCTAAGAAAATAATATATTAAGTATTATATAAAATTTACTGATTTGATTGACTAAAATTAACTTTTTTATTTTTGTAAAAACACTGACCAAAAGATGATAAATATTGTATTTTTTTGTTTTTAGTGTCTAAAAACGTACACTGGCCACAAGAATGATAAATTTTGTATTTTTGCAAATTTTTCAGTGACAGGTGGAAAGGTATATTTTCATTTTAAATTTTCTTTTATCAACTTTAGTTAATTAGATTTAGTTTTTTTATTTTTTCGTCTATGTGTCATTTTTTTCAAAAGTGGATAATTTCGGGTTCTGAAGACAACCTCGTTTATATATGGAATTTACAAACAAAAGAAGTTGTGCAAACGTTGGAGGGACACACAGGTAGTTGTTAATATGAATGAATTGTTTTATAAAATTCTTTATTTATTATTTGAAAGTTATATTTTTTGAATTAAGATGTGGTCCTCTGCTGTGCTTGTCATCCAACAGAAAACATTATTGCTTCTGGCTCTCTTGAAAATGATAAAACTGTTAAAATCTGGAAATCAGACACTTGAAGAAACTTTTCGATATTAAATTTTAAAGCGAGGTTTTACTTGTGCTATTTGATATTAATACAAACATATACATATATACTAATAGGGAAAACTGGTATAAATAATTCTTAATTACACAATGTATCCATCATGTAAATGTTAATTCAAGAAAGAAAAGACTTTTAGAGGACTCCTGAAAGACTTCACAAGGCTCTTTTATGAAAGAGACCTAAAGACTTTAAATAAGTTATTTCGCTTTTAGATGAGATATTTGACAAGGGTATCTTGCAATTATGCGCTTGGTGATGTCACGTGTTTCTCGATAAAAGAAGTTTTGTCAGAAAATTGACGCTGTAATTAAATTAATAACTGAATATGTTTTTTTTTTAGCTTATTAGTATTATTTTCCTTTGAATTGCTTACAAATACTCCTTCCTTATAATATATTTTTTTAATCAAAGGTTTCATTTGCAAATTATCGATAAGGGTGGAAGTAGTTTTTTAACTACAATATCAAATTATAAAATTGTAATATATTATAACAACCAGTTAAAAACATTTCGATAAATTTTATGAAACTTAAGATGTGAACCTCCTAATATATATATTTTTTTTCTATAGTAATTATTGATATTTTGTAAAATTACATAATTTTTAAAAAAAAAAATTTAAAATAATAATAAAATTTAATTTTTTAGTGTATGAAATGGTACCTACAACTGTTGCCACAAAATGACAAAAATTTTAAAATTACCTGGGTGATAGTAATCAAATTCTTGAAATTTTCTAAGCACATTTATGCATGTAAGGTCGGCCTGTAGTATGAATTTTTATATAAATTTTGAATCAGCCAATACATTGGACTATTTTTTCCAAAGCTTTAAGTTTGCTTAAATCGCAGAAGAAAAAGTGTGTTTTGTCTGAAGTTTATAGTTCCACTAAACCAGGTTTTTAGTTAGATATGTTATCTTTTTAAAAATAGAGAAAAATGTTTACATTAAAACTCAGAAAAAATGATTAACCAGTCATATGGTTTCTTCCTTTATAAACGATTTATCGTATTGAGTCTTTTTACCACAAATTACTTGTATACGTTTTATTTTTTTATGGCTGGATAAGTAATAATCGTTGTTGATTATTTTTTTAGTCGTTTTTTTCAGGTCTTGCGTTTATTTTTTCTAAAACAAATATATAATATTTTCTGATTGAAGAGTTTTCCAAAATTCTTTCACCTTAAAAAAATTTTGAAAAGCTTGTCAAAATGGCTTTTATTTCAGACGATCTATAATTTGGATCAGTAATTTATTCACACCCTAGAGCTTTTTAGTATATGGAATAAAACGGAAGAAATCGGGCTGTTTCCTTGCACTAGATTTTGAGTGCATCAGGGTTAATCTCTTCTGTAGAGATAATGTTCATAGAACAATTATTTTTGTCAGCTCTTCTTTGATATTCAATAATATTTACGTGGTTGTAGGCTTGGAGCAGAATTTTTGGCTCACAATCAAGAGGTTCAAATCCGCTCTACACCCGCAAAAAAAAGTGTAGGGTAGATTTGAACAGCGTTCAGAGCAACCAAAGTACAACGCTTAACCTTTTTTTCACGCAGCGTACCAGTTGCTTGTGCTTTGGGTTTCCAAAAAAAAAATAGTAGCTTTCTTGACTGTTGTGGCCTCTTCTGGAGCCTTGTAGAGGCGAATTTAATAGAAAATATACTCATATCAGCATGGGAGGCTGAATAAGTGCAAGTCGGCATAAATGCGTCAGAGAAATTTGCAAATTACCTTTTATTTTTAATTTAGTTTTTATTTTAGTCTCTTGTGCTGAATCGATTCAGTATAGCATGAATCAACAAAACTACATTTCTCGTATAATTAATCGAGAGATGTAGCTTTGTTCACCAGTCTAAATATAAGTAAGCTGAACCTTTGTTTTGAAATGTTTTAATTATATGTTTTAATTATAAATAGTTCATTTGTACAAAATAATTCAAAAGAAAAAATAGCCATAGCATCACTTTGTCAAAAAACATTTATTTTTAGCAAGGAAAAAAAGAGCATTTTATTAACCAGCAGTTAAATCGAAATTATTTTAAAAATTGACAATCCGACACAGAAATATTTTTTTACGGTAATAGGTTTAGTTTGGAAAGCACAGAGGTTGAGGAATCCGGGTTGGATTTCAGGATTGAAGTTCACTTATATAACTATAAAATTGGCATACAACTTTCTTTCAAAAACCCGGTGTTTGAAAAACAGCGGGTTTTTGCACTTTTTTGTTGAGTTTCAGATCGGTTGGGCACTTTTTGTGCTTTAAAAGAATGAAAATAATGTTTATTTTGAACTTTTACAACAAAACTATTAGAAAGTTCATAAATGCTTGCGCGCTCCCTTAGTGAAAGCCTTGGGTTAGTCTTAAAACTGTTTACCAGTTTTCTAACTAGTTTTTTATCTTTAAAAACCTTCTTTCTTCCACCACCAGATTTACGTTAGGTCGATTTTTTTGAGAAAAACCTTGGATTACACAACTAACAGTGTATGGATGTATTTGCAACGCTTTTGTTATCGAATTGTAGCTATTATTGGGATTTTCCACATATAAATGTGCATAATTTCTTCTCTTATGTCTTCTTTTGTCATTTTTAAAACTAATTTTAAGTTAAATCAAAAAAGTAATACATTTTTTTGAAACAACAACACGTTGTAAACAAAATACAAAACAATTTAAAATATTTTTATATAACCACTGAAAAAAAATGACTTACTTATTCTTTCACATTTATTTCGTGTACACGCTTTAAATTACGGCGATTAAGCATGATTATGAGGCTAATAATTTTTTCATTTTTCTGGCGACACAACCTTCTTAACTCTTTTATAATCAGAACAATTTTCAGCACCCCCTGGATTATGTCAAAGTTTGCCTCGGTATATTTTCCATATCAAAGAGGTCCAAGGTGAACTTTTTTCCGACAACTAATTAAAATTTATAAGTTATTTTTCTGCTACCTTCTAGTTTTTACGTCGTTTTTTTAAAACTGTGCAACTTTTTTGTGGTTTTTAAAGTTTGTTGGTTTTTTAACCAATAACAAAAATTTGTTTAATTTTAGTTATTGGTTGATAAAATGTTAAACTTCACCCCAGTATTTTAATAGCTGTGTTTAAAACTTTATATAAATGAACTTTAAAGTTCTTTTGTTTATTAAAATGTCAAGTTTACTATTAAAAAAGATGTTACTTTACCATTAGACCAGGTCATGTATGGGCAAATAGAAAAGTCAATCATTATATTAAATAATTCTCAGATTTAAATCTGGATATTTAAGACTATAATTACAAATTTAATTAATATTTGACATATTAGGATAAAAAAAATGTTTGAACTAAGAGTTGGTTATACACTTAACATCCTCATCATTATTAACAATATCCTCTTCTTCATCGGCCGTCTCAAGCCATTGTAACCAGTTGTTTACCTAAAACATAATATTAAAATATCTATAGATCACAGCGCTGGCACTTAATTTATAACCATTGATTATTTCTTTTCTTTTTTTCTTTATGATTAAACTAAATTGTTACTTTAAACAAATATAAAAATATAGAAATATGGTTAAAATAAAATTAGCGATAACAAAAAAACAAAACAAATATGGTTTAAATAAACTTAACGAGAACAAAAAAAATTTAATGCATGAAAAAATAATCACCCGCTGGAAATCAGTATTAAAAAATAGCTAGTTTCAAGTTGTAAAAATCGAGACGGAGATTTGACTACTATGGTAGTCTACAAGATTCGACTACGAGGGTATTTAGGCATCAATTTGTGTTTAGTTGAAAGCAAGGAACAAAATAAATTATGATAAAACATGGTTGGGTAAAACTTTATTAAAAAAGTTTAGTAGGTTAGGTGAGGAGGTATTTTGATAGGTTAGGTGACATCCATAAACAATAATACATTAAAAAAGTATAACCTCATTATGAAATTTTTAATAGTTAAGTTTTTTTATTAAAAAATATTAAAATTTGTCAAAACTCTTGTTTTCTATGAATATCTAATATCGTCTCTAAAAAAAGAGTACTCAATAGACTTCTAAAAAACTTTTATTTTTTTAGATATATATTTCAATCTTAGTATTTAATATTTAAAAGACTTTTGAATACTTTTTATCGTTTAATGTAATAAAAAATTCTTCTCTAATAAACAAAAATCAAAGTCAATGTTTTAAATCATAAAATTACGGGGGAATAAAATTTCCCAAAACATTTCGAAAAACTTATTATCCAAATGCCATATATAAAGAAATAAATTCATTTAAAATAAGTAATTTTATAACTTCGTAGAAAAAATTAAAAAAATAATTGTGGCGAATGATTTTCTATTATATAAATATACAATACATTTTAGCAAATTTTTTTTAGCAAAAGTCATGTCTCTGTGGCAGCTGAAAGAGTTGCACTATCAGTCATTGACAACAAGGAAGCCTCATCTCATGAAACAGTTCGTTTTATTTGACCCGATGGATTATTCAAGCCAGTTTTAATTATTTCAAGCAAAGTTTTAACATTTAAAGTTTTAATTTCATTTTTTAAAGTTGACTTTTCGCATCAAAATATATTATTTCTTTCATTTAGGCCCAAAAATCTTTTAACTAAAGACTAGAACTTACCTTTTATTTCTCATAAAGTTTAATAAAGGTTGAGAAAACTAATTTTAAAAATATGATTAGCATTTTAAAAAAAACTATAGCTAAAAAACTAACTTGAAATAAAGATTTTCCTTTTCCTGGATACACATCGTTAATATCTTCTCTCCATTTCAAAAATGTTTCTTCGTCAACCAATTCTTCATTGTACAGAATTATAAATAAACGAATTAACATATCTAAAGAAAGTCGATAAATAACTAAATTAACATATCTTAAAAAAATTGTCAAAATGTTTATAAGTCTCTTTCAAATAAAAGTTTCAAACAACTGTTAAATTTTATATTAATACGATTAAAATCATTGTAACATGTTAGTAAGTTATAAAAATAGAATACACAAATAAAAACTTAACATTAAAAATAGAACAAATAGATTACTTTTTTTTTAAATACTTTTTTAAAAATTTAAATTTCTGAGAAACAAAATAAAACAGCAGATTTTTTCTTTTTTAGATGTTTATTTTTTATTTTATTTTGGTTCTTAGAAATCAAAGTATTTAAAAAAGTAGTCATCTAAATGTTCATCATCTATTTGTTCCATTTTTGACGTTAAGTTTTTATTTGTTTATTAGTTACAACTCAATAAACTTATGTCTCAACTTTAACTTTTAAGAATCAAAATAAAGCGCCAGATGCCTTTTAAAAAAAAAATGCAAGCTTCTATAAAAAAACAAAGTTTGCAGAGAAATTTAAAAAATAGAGAAATCCAGGAAGCCTTAGCCCTAACCATATTATAATCGACGTTCATACAAAAAACAATATTGTTGTTTGTCTTCATGCCAAAAGCAATAACGCAACAGACATTTTATCGATTATAATGATTACCTTTTGGAAATTCTTTTTCATAGCAAAATATCTGCACAGCATACAAAGCTTCCAGTTGTGAATTTGTATCTGTATTCAAATATCTTTTAAGTATATTTTTCATTTTTAACATCTCCTCTCTCTCTTTTTCAATGTACTCCTTTTCTGGCTTAAGACTTACATCAACTTTAGACAATGTATCTAAAGTTGCCATTGTAACCGAACAGGTTACTATTACATGAACAAGCAGCTTTTTTTCAACTTGACCTTCAAGGTTTTCCTGCATCAAATCAATATGAAATATGATACAACAAATTTTTCAATATGAATTTATAATAAAAATAAAAAAAAACAATATAAACAAATAACCTTTATCCAAGTATCAATCAACTCTTCTGACACATTTTCAAACATCATTTTTAGCAGTTCTTCTTTGCGACATAAGTGAGGAAATAGAAATGTCAATCCCTTAATTAAAAATAAAATTAAATGCTAAATGTAAAAAAACATAGAAACGCAAAATTAAAAATAATTAAATTTAAGATAAAGTTATCAAAAATTTTTAGAAAATTTAAAAAACCTTTTCACGAGCAATTTTCATTATATAATCATCGGACTTGAGTTCTTTAGGAAACACTGCTTTTAAATCAATTCCTGAGCTTCTGATTAAATTCTCTGCAAACTCCTATAAAATAATTGAGCGAAAAAAGAAATAAAATTTTAAATAACAACGATTAGCAGCAATTTTTTGCACTAAATAGATTAATACTTTATGATCTTATCTTTTATTGCATAAATACAGGATAAAAATTAGAATCAATGATTAAATTTTTCTTACATTAAATACAAAATAAAGATAAAAACCTATAGTGTACCTTTCCTTTCATTTCATAAACACGAGATAAGCATAATAATGGCATAGGAAAATGCTTTCCATCATGAAAATATTCCATATATTTTTTGACCTTCAATAACTCCTAAAATTGCAACTTGGTTATTGAAAATTCAAATAACTTACACAATTCCACTATGTCACAAATAAATAAAAAAGGAAGAAATAAAAAAAAAAAAAAAAACTAACATTTATAATAAAAAATGATGAAAGATTAGAAACATATTCTTTTCCCAATGCTGTTTCCATCAACTTTGAGTCATCAAACATTTGAAAAAACATCTGAAAAGAAAATTAGTTAAAACTATATTTTTTGTGTTATGTAACACAGGAGGGTCACTAATTCAAATGATGGTCACTGATGTATTATTCAACACATGATGGTCATTGATGTACATACAATGGTCACTGATGTGCGTACTTGAACTTAATTAAAAAGAGAAAAAATAAAAAACAATAAAAGTATGACAAATAAAATACACCCAAATGAAAGACTCATTCAATTAATTTTTTTTTTAAACTTGAAACATTATTAAATTATATTTTAAACTTTTAAGAAAACATCTTTTCATTCAACAGAAAAATAGTTTTGTTAAACATAGAAAATTCTAAAGTGATTTACTGTCTATTTAAAACTGTCTGCAAAAACATTTTTTGTAGAAGTAGAATTATAAAGTGTTTTTTTTCAATTTTTAAAAATGCATCAGTTGCCAATCATGTAAAATAAAAATGCTGGATGATTCATTTTACTCATATACCCCATATTCTGAACTTTATAACTACAAATTATTAAAGTTATCACAAACTTTTAAAATTAAAATTTAGTTAAAAAAGATTACTCTTTCTATTTCTTCAAATACGTTGTCTTGTTTGAACACAAAGAGTTATTAAGAGTCATTATTTATCACAAACAGTAAATTAGATGTCAAACTATAGGAAAATATATATATATATATATATATATATATATATATATATATATATATATATATATATATATATATATATATATATATATATATATATATATATATATAATTTTAAAAAATAATCATCATTTTATAAAAACTATTAAGAAAAAAAAATTATAATAAAATTTTTTTGTAAAATGTAAATTTTTCATTCTTAGTTAAAAAATGTAGGCAGTGAAATTTAAAATAATTTTTTTATATAACAATGATTACTTTTAAAATTTTTATAAAATTTTGCTTCTTTAAAGACCCAACACTATATGCTTTTGAAGACCTTTTTTTATGATAATATTAAGGACCTATCTAATGTTTAAGGGTGTTGAGCTACCTCTAAAAAATTTTATTTTTCAAAAATTTTTAAATTCCAGTATTATTTTATTATATAGAACACATTTGAAGAGGGTTGGAGCAGACATTAAAAAAAAAAAAGTTGTTAAGCAAAAAAAAAAGCGAAACTATGTACCCACAATAACAATGGAAAAAAAACACAAATAAGCAAGAAATTTTGCATTTACTTAAAAACTATTTATAATAACTAAATTTGTTCTTGAACATCTGCATCAAATGAATCTCTACATTAAATGCTACAAAACAATGCACCCTTGTGTGCTTCACCAACTGTGCTGCTGAGATTGCCATACCATCAAAAATGATCTTTATGAAGGCTAAGCACCTATCCTATATATTATAAACATTTTATTTTTTATGGATTTAATTTATTATAAACATTATTGATTTCAGAATAAACAAATATGAAACTTCTTATAAGCATGTCAAATTAATACTACAATTATAAAAAAACAAAACAGTAAAATTTAAGTTTTAAAACTGTTTCAGTTACATTCGTTTTAAAAAAGCCTGCCTCTTTAGCTACTTTCAGCTTTCAACATCTTCATTGTCAGTACTCTCAAAATTTTCAATTGACACTTCAGTTTTTTTTTCTTGAGAATAAAAAGATAGGTATTCTATTTGTGACTTTTTTTTTCCAGTTTCCTTTCTTTTATAATTTTTTTTCTTGTCTGTTAGCTTCTTTAAAATCTTGAGCATTTGCATAAATTTTTTTGCCACAAATTTTTCTATTTGTGATTCCATAAACTATATATAGTTTTATATAGTAACTAAATATAGTTTTATTCTTAGTTTTATTTTGGGAATTTTCTCTCTTGGATTGACAAGAGATATGAGCTTCAAAAACACATGAACTACAACTTGCCTCCTTACAAGAAAAAATGTCACACTTGCAAAATGTCACACCAAATAGCTTGTCCAGATTAGAGTTAAACTTAGAAATGGTTTCAGTGTTGGACCTAAAGTTAATATCAGTAGCTTTTTTCCAAAATCAAACTATTTTATTTATACCGACTTTGTCTGTAACAATTGCAATTTCAGGATTCGCTTTCAACCATTGTGTTTTCACTTTAAAAAAAAACTTTTTGCAAGTATCTTTAAGTGTTGCATTTGCTTTACAGTTATTATCTCTTCTTAGAAGCAAACCATATTTAAAAACATCACTTCATGTTGATAACTCAGAATCTAAAAATTCACTTACAAAACCAATCATAACACTTAATTTGCAACTTTGACTATTTTTACATGTTCGTTTAGCCATCAATAAAGAACTCAAAATTTATACTAGTTTATAAACAATATTTATCATGAACTTAACGTGTCAACTCAAATGCAGCATTTCAATTGCATTATCTTATGGATGATACTTCATAAGTTTCATATAACTTATTAAATAAAATATTTTTTTGTAACAACGCAAGATATTACAGCAAAGTATAGCAAAAATAACGATCATTGTAAACTTTAAAAACCATAAGTTTTAAGCTAAAATGACTGTCTAGGTGTCTAATAAAGGTGTCTAACTAGGTGTCTAATTTGGGATAGAGGTTTCAATTGAAGATGTTTTTGAGTCAATGAGAATAACCTTTCAAAAGTTGCGATAAACCACGAATAGCGCATTTTTTACCCAAAACTACGGTTTTTGAAGTTCAAATTTGGAAACCTAAAAATTAATTTTTTTTTTTTTGCATTAGTTTTACATAAGGGCCAACACATTTAAAATTCATATGGCATAAGCATTTATTGTAAAAAGTTGAAAAATGACCCGCCCTACTCCACAATCAATAGTTGGCAACACTTAATAGTAGGCAACACTTAATAGTAGGCAACACTTAATAGTAGGCAACACTTAATAGTAGGCAACACTTAACACTTTTAAAGTTCTTTGACAGTATAAAAAAAAGGAAAATAAAGATGTTTTTAGCATTCAATCTATGTTAACTTTTTTTACTGAAATAAAAAAATAACAAAATGTTTACATTATTTAGAGTGTCTGCAGAAATTATTGATTTGTGTTGACATTCCAAAATTGCTTCACAAACAATTTGCCAATCAAATTCCTCATGAGTACAAGGGAAATAAAGCAACTGCTTTACAACCATTTTCAGGTATTTCATATTGGTGGCCAATGATTGAACATCATTGCAAAGTAGCTCTATATTTTTGTTAGATTGGTATGTCTCCATCATAGATAACTTAAAAGCAAAACACAATAATGACAAAATATTTAGCTAAAAAGAAACTTATAAATGCATGTTTGAAAACTAATACAAAACAAAGACAACATACAAGTTTTGCATCAAAATCTATTTTGGTAAGACCAGTCTTTTTCAACTTGTTTGTTTTATCATTTATTGTTAAATTTGTAAACTGTGATCTCTTTGCAGATGCATCCTTAAAAATTCCAAAATATTTTAGACAAAAAAAAAAAAAAAAAAAAAAAAACAACAACAAACAAACAATAACGCAAATTAGTAACCAATAACAAAAACTTATACTTCAGTTTCCAAGGAAACAGCTTTTTCATCTTTTTTTGTAAGAAAAGATGGACGCAAACTAATCTAGTAAAACAAAATTGTATAGTAATTTAAAAAAATACATATCAGAAATTTTGTTGCATATTATACGGAACATAAATTGCACTATATAACATTAATAAATTGCACCAAATGAATTATGGCATCCAGAAATAACTAATGAAATAAAGTAATATTGGTTTATGCAAAAATAAAGTAATACTAGTCTATGCAAAAATAGAACAATGCAAATATGCAAATATAAATAATAGAGCTAAGAGAAATTGATGTAAAGAACTAATTCGCATTAACTTTTTAAAATAATTTGTAGTTCTAATAATTTTCAACTTTTTTTTTCATTACTTTATTTTATTTGCTATTACTTTAAATAAAATAATAAAGAAAAACCTGAACTAAAGAGTTCATTGTAAAACACCACCAATAGAAGGCACGAAAAAAAAAAAAGATTTCTTTTCTGCTTTAAAACTTTTTTGTTTTAAATATCAAGTAATTACAACAAATAAAAAATAAATAGATTTCAAAAACTGTCAGAAACAATTTTTAGAGAACATTTCAATTCAACTATAAAATTGAACAAATTTCAACAAATAATTAAGATTATAAAGTCTTAAAGGACATACTTCAGGGCATGACAACTCATTTTTTTTTAATAAATATTGACATTCATATCTTTATTTATTATTGAACGTCTAATTTAAGAGATATATGTCAAATAAAGGAGATTTATTTTCAAATAACATTTACTCTAGTTAATGAACTATTAGATATATCAAACATGTATTGAATTTATTCATTTTTTTATTATTTCAATACAATATTTCATGCATTTGCAAAGTGCATGCAAATTAATGATAATTAAAGGCCATTTTTCACAAGATGAAAAAAATTGCACAACTCAAAATTTTTTGTCATGACAAAACGCCATTATGATTTCTACATATTATATTTTGCGCTACTATTTTTGTTTTCAATAAAAAAAGGCTGTTATAAGCTTACGCTGTATGCTTTTTAAAAAAATATATATAAAAAATGTATATCTGTATTGTATTTTTTAAGAATGTTTAAGAAAATAAATGCTAATTTCTCATAGGAACACTTTTGTTAAAAAACTGCAATAAGTAATAGATGGTTCAACTCTGAAAGAAGATAAACCTTCTTGTGAAGTGAAACTATCGGAATTGACAACATTAGTAAACTCATCTTTGTTTGATGAATTCGCTAATGCTTGCCAATTTTCAGGGTGACTTCTAAGTAAATAAGAACACCAAGTTGAGCATTTTGTTTATTGTTGTTGTTGCCATTTTAAAAAATAATGTGCTTTCGCTTTTTTTTATTGTTGACTTTGCATGATATAATATTTAAATATGATTGGTCATAATGATAGACTTTTTTTTTGCTACAGCAAATTGATCAACAATATTAGCAGAAGTATTTTATCTGCGCATGCTTATCAACAAAAAAATCTTGTTTTGAGGACAACGTAATAATATGTAATAACTTAATGATTGTAAATGGTTATCTATAAATACAAAATACTGAATTTTTCTTAATTTAGTTCGTTAAATGTATTTACTTATAAAAAAACATTAAATTGAAGAAATTAAAATAAAAGGGAACTAAAAATAAAATTGAAGTTGTATTGACTTTTCTTTTTTAAACCTAATAATAGGATTGTATTAAGCATTGAATAAGTTATTAAGTTATTAAATTCTTAACATGATATTATTATATTTATAATGTTAAGTATTTAATATTAAAAATATATTATTACTATAATAATAAATTTAATTATAATAAATAAAATAATTCTATATATTCTATATATAAGATTATATATATTTCAGCTAAACTTAAAAATTCTTTTTAAAACTTTTAAAAGTGTTTTTAGTATGCAAACAAACATTACTTCACTTGAACGATAACAAGAAAATTAAAAAAAAAGGCAGGCTTTTAAATATAACAATATTTTAGCATGGTTTCTTTTAAAGTATAAGCAAATGCATTCATTTAAAAATTTTGCTTTTGTAAACGCATGTAAAAACCATGCTAAAACAAAATTAGTTTCTTTAATAATAAACTTGTTATTTAACTTATAAGTAACACTATTAATGAAAGTAATCTTGTTTTAGCTTGGTTTCTTTTGAAGTGGTTGTAAATGCATTTTGAATTTTAGTAACTAATTGTTTTTTTATTATAAATAAATAACTATCAATTGCATAATTAATTGAAAAAAAAATTGCTGAAGTTATGCGTTAGTTTTATAAAATTTTGAACAAACGTCAATGTTTGCTTAAGTAAAAGTAAAGAAACGCGATGTTCGTTTTTCTTTTCTTTTTTTTACTTTTTTTTACTTTCAATAACAAATGCTTAATAACACTTCAATCACCAAAAAATTTGTCTTGTCCAAACACTCATTTACTCAATTATATCAAAATACAAAAGATATTATGCCATCAAAACAAAGTAGATAAATCATCAATATTGAATAGTAAAATCATCAATATTAATATCAATCGTATCAAGGTACAATTAAATTAAAACAAATTTTTAGATTGTTTACATGGTATTAAATAACACAAAAACAATTGAAACATTACTTTGCTATTAAATAATTTTATCAATTCTAAACTTTTCTTTATTAATTCTCATTAGAAATTGTTTTATTATTTCAAAACATTTTTTTTATAAATCTTTGTAAATCTGCTGTTTGTATTTTATTCTAAAAATTTAACTTTTTTTTTTTTTTTGTTCTTTAAAATATATTCAACTAGAATATGTCTCTCTGAAAATTTAACTTTTTTTTTTTTTTTTTGTTCTTTAAAATATATACAACTAGAATGTCTCTCGTTGAATTTATTTAAATCTTCAAGAATTATTGCAATAATAATCAACAAAAAAAATACATTTTTTTAAAAATAAATTATTTTATTATTTTATTTTTAATGTAAAATGTTTTTACTAATTTTAATACTTAATAAAGCGTGTACACGAAATAAATGTGAAAGTAGAAAAATAACTAAAAAAAGTACTCAATTTTTATTTCGAACCAAGTAATAACTTTAATACAATAATATAAGAAGATCAAACACACACACACACAAATTATTCTTGTGGGAATCAAATAAAACATCGAGCTTTTGCTTTGGTGGTACACATAAGCTTGTGCACAGAATAACAATCAAATCTACTTGATACTTTTTTAAATGATACTTTAATATCTTTAATGTTTCTGCAAATTTTTTTTTCATTTTTCTTTTAATAACAGCACAGTACTTTTCAATAACTCTCAATTCTAGGCAGTTTGGAGGATTTTCTATTTTAGGCACAAATTTCACATTATTTTCTTAATACTATTCCATGGCTAGTTTACAAGAATGACTTAAAGCTAAATCACATGTCTGTTATCAGATGATTTAATGAGAGGTAAAAATTTTTGTAAACACTCTTTAACATATATTTGACCAGAAAGTGTGAACTGAGAAATATAAGGTGCTGATTTTTTGCCACAACTGTAAATAACTGTAAAGGCTCTTTTAGCGAACTTGTCTTGTTTTGTGTATTTAAATTTCTTATCTGCTTTTCCTTTATATTTGTCAATATAACAGACAGCACCAGGAATTTTCTGATGATGATACTTGATATAAGTTTCATCATATTCAATAGAACAGAAATATTTAGAAATGAAATTGTCATACAATTTTCCGCAGCAGGTTCTTGCACTTTTTTTTTTGAGTTTCAGATCGGTTGGGCACTTTTTGTGCTTTGAAAGGATAAAAACCATGTTATTTAAACTTTTAAAACAACACTATGAGAAAGTCCATAAATTTTTGCGTGTTCCCTTAGTGAAAGGCTTGGGTTAGTCTTAAAACTGTTTACCAGTTTTCTAACTAGTTTTTTATCTTTAAAAACCTTCTTTCTTCCACCACCAGATTTACGTTTGGTCGATTTTGTTTGAGAAAAACCTTGGATTACACAACTAACAGATTTATTTGCAACGCTTTAGCTATCAAATTGTAGCTACTATTGGGATTTTCCAAATATTTGTGTGTAATTTTTTCTATTATTTCTTCTTCTTTTGTCATTTTTAAAACTAATTTTAAATTAAATCGAAAAACTAACACATTTTTCTGAAACCACAACATGTTGTAAATAAAATACAAATTAGATTTTAATATAACTACTGAAAAAAAATGACATACTTCTTTCACATTTATTTCATGTAAACGCTTTATTTGATATTTGAATAATAAGAAAATAAAAAAAAACCTCGCCGACAACTTTTTTTGGAGTTGTTTTGTTTGCAGGTGCACGAGGAAGATCTAAATGAAAAAATTATACAACTAAATTTATAAATAATAGAATCTAAAAAAAATCAAAACTACATATATAATAATAATTATAATAATAATTATAATAATAATAATAATAACAATAATAATAACAACCACAACAACAACAATAATAGAATAAGAATAGAAATAATATCATGTGCATACTTATAGACATAAATGTAATATAAAGATCTGGATAGTACATCAAAATGTAAAGACCTGGGTAGTACATCAATATAAAAATCTGGGTAGTGCATCAATATAAAGAGATCTAGGTAGTGCCTCAGAATGTAAAGATCCTAGTAGTACATGAGAATGTAAAGATCTTGGTAGTACATGAGAATGTAAAGATCTGAGTTGCATATCAATAAAAAGAGATTTAGGTAGTACATCAATAAAAAGAGATCTGGGTAGTACATCAGAATGTAGACTAAATCTGAAAAATTGAATATAGACTCCAGCAGAAAAAAAAAAGATCTTGATGAGAAAAATATCATATCAATGTTTCATGTTGTTTTGCAGGAACATCATCCAATGACTTTGCTGCACTACGAATGTAACAATGACATGTTTATATAAAAAATTTTTATGTTTACATAAAAATTTTTTATATAAACAACCAAAACAAAACAGTTAAAAATGAGATCAAAAAAGACATATGGACCACCACAAATTAGTATAATTGGAAGCATTGGAACATTAGATTTATGCATTTACAGTAGACAGTAGAAAAGCGGTGTAGAGCAAGACATTCACATACAAGTTGAGTTGTATCTATGTGTATGTTTCTTCATAAATGATATTTTTAATTTAGCATTGAGTCAATAAGCGAGAAAATGTTGTATTTAGTGCACAGAGTTAATTCATGTGGCAGCGTATAGCATGTTTTGTAGCATAGTATTAACTATTATTACTATGTACATAATATTAAACAATTTTGTTTTCATGGTCATTAAAAATTTTTTTTTAATGAAACAGGCATCATCAGTGTAACAATTCTCTATTTTAATCAATCATCATCAAATCAAAAATCAGAATTTTTTAAAACATTTCATGATTAACATATTAAAACTGATAAAAAATCATAAAAATTTGTTGATGTGTAATATATTAAAAAGATTTATTGGTTTAAAAAAAAAAAATTGGAAAAAAAGTTCTAAAAATTGTTCAAATATTAAAGTCATAAATCTGAAAACATTTGGTATTTGTGTTTAAATAAGTGCTTTAGTTTCATAAGACAATTCAAATAAAATAATACTAAAACTCTTTAATAACAACTGAAATAATAAAAATAATATATATATATATATATATATATATATATATATATATATATATATATATATATATATATACACATATATTATTTTTATTATTTCGGTTGTTATTAAAGAGTTTTAGTATTATTTTATTTGAATTGTCTTATGAAACTAAAGCACTTATTTAAACAAACAAAATAACAAAAGATTACCATGTGATGTATTGGGAATAACAGTAGACTTGGTATTGATTACATCATCTTTCACAGGAAATACTGCAGGCTTGTTGTAATGAGGAACGAATGGATCAACATTCCAAGGATTACTGCGATTAACAATATTACTCTGATTATGTTGCTTCTCGTCACTTGAAACAATTTTACTTTTATGATGGTCATGTTGTGAAGTCGCTAATGTATTAGCTGTATTCAACTTTTTAGATTTCATGTAACTAAAAAAAAAAAAAATTTTTTTAAATAGCCCGATAAAGACTATACTCATCTTTTTAATATATTACTTTTTTTAAATATGAAATTTTTTTAGTATATTAAGCAACCATTAAAAAAATAAAGGTTATAAAAATATAAAACTTGAAACCCATTTTTTATTATACATATCATATATTCCTATATATGACATTATACACAAATTTAAACATTTAAAAGAAAAAAATCTTAAAGATTAGTCACCACTGAAATTATATGTTGTAAATTCAGTTTTCCAACTATCTAAACAGATGGAAATTAATGGAAAATATATTTAAATAAAACTTCAAGATTTAAAAGAAATGATAATCTTTATGGAAAATTGAAAGCTTTCCATAATTTATTTGATATATGTTTATGTAATTGTTATAATATAGGAGTAGAAAGAGAGAAATGCAGAATTTAAAGTAACAAATAAAGAATGGGATGCTTTGGACAAAAGCAACACAAACAACTTGGACTACTTGATAACACTTACACATCTATTTAAAAAATAATAAAACTAAAAAAAAAATAAAAAATAAAAAATAATAAAAAATAAACATGGCAACAACAGTTAAAAAACAAATGTTGAGAAAGACATGGATCATATTAGCAATGACAATTTGAATATAATATGAATCAAATATGAATCTGACAAAAATATCAAACAAATCTAATAATGAATAAGATATACAAATCTGATGTTTGAATTGTAACAAAATATAATTTTTTACAATGAATTGATTATTGCAGCAAATCGTTATGCTATTGCCAACACTGCTCTAAGAGACAAAGGTATATTAAATTAATCAAATATGCTTGATAGAAAAAAAGTAGAAAGTAAAAGACTTCATGTTGGATAAAAAAATGTAATTAAGAGAAAATCCAAAAATTTGAAATTTGGCAAATTTAGTGGATTGATAAATTTAATAAAAACAGAACTTGATAGACTAATGCAGTGGCTAATTTGTCAACTTGATTGATAGAAAAAGAACTGGCCCTGGATCATCTAAAGGAGATATTGGTAAAAAGATAACAGAAGACAACTAATATAGCAGTATGTTCATTCATTAAAATCAAAGGTTCTTTTTGTTTAACTCCTGACAACATTTTTTCATCTTAATGGTGACATAAATCCACTTTTTTTGGAAGTCCTTTTTATTTTTTGTTACTCCACTTGTCTTACAAAGAACTCATTTAACCATTGCTCAAAAATCTTCAATCTTGCGCTCTTCAGGACAATTTGGAGGATTCGCATCTTTAAGAACAATTTTTACATTAGTATCTTTGCACCACTGCAGAACTTTTTTAGAATAGGGAGAAGCCGAAAGATTTGGCCAAAAGAGATATCAGTATTTGTGTTTTTTTATAAATTGCAAAACTCTTTTTCAAAGGCATTATTTGATGTAGAGATTGGCATTCAAGGTCTTTTTAGTGACAAAACAAGAGGACTGCATACCACAGCTACAAATTGCTTGCCACACAAAGAACTTAGATGCAAATTTTTCTTGTTGAATATATTTAAATTAATCATCGACAGGTTTATCTTTGTTCTCATAGTAAAATTGTTGACCAGGAAGTTGTGAAAAATCTGCCTTGCAATGTTTTGTCGTCTTCAATCATACACATACTTTTATCCGCCATTATTTTAATCAACTTATTTGCGCATTGAATTCTTTTAATTTCACCATTTAAGCTTCTCTTAGATGTATTTTTCTAATGAAATGCTTTAATTCCAGCCTTTTTAAGTACTTTTTTGATATAAGAATGCAAAATCTTGAATTTTTTTGCTAGATCTCACTGTAACTGGTTTGGGTTTCTTGCTATTGAATGTAAAACCAACTTTACCTTTTTGGATTTATGGAAAGTTTTCTTTCTTCCACTTCCAGGTTTTCTTTCGAAGGTTTGAGTAGTCTTGAACTTACTTATAATATCTATGACTGTAGATTATGGGACAATTGTATGTTTAGCAATAAAGTGATATCAAGTCGAAAGATTTTTGCAAAAAAAAAAATGCACAACTTATTTACGCACATCAACTTGTTTTTGAAACATTTTGCAAATCATTGATTTCTAAACAAAAGTTTACCAACACAATTAAAGATAAGGAAGTAACGTTTAATTAAAAAAATAAAAGAAATAAAAAGCATTTGTGGTTTTAGAGAAATCGCAATTTAAAGTTGACTCGATTTTTCCGTGTCCACCTGATATTGGGTTGGCAACTAAGTAATTGCAAATATTTTTTAGAAAATAATTTTTTTTTTTCATGGAACGAAATAACTTTATTCTGAAATGCATTACCCATTTTGAGCAATGACCTTTTGCCATCTTTCAGGCAGCATCATAATTCTATGTTCATAAAACTTCTGGTTATTATCAGCAAAAAACTGAACCAGGTACGATTTGACATCATCATCATTTTTGAAATTTTTACCATTCAAGGAGTTTTGCAAAGATCAAAATAAAAAGTAATCAGATGGTGCAAGGTCAACACAGTATAGTGGATGTGGCAAAACATCCTAACCAAGCTCCAATAATTTGTGATGAGTGACCAAAGATGTGTGGCCTTGCATTGTCATGATGGAATACAACACATTTTCGATTTGCCAATTCGGGCTGCTTTTCTTCAACTGCATTGTTCAATTTTGTTAGTTGTTCAATGTAGACATCTGAATTGATCATTCAGTTGGGTGGTAAAAGTTCAAAGTAGACAATTCCATTGTTATCCCACCAAACTGATAACATAACTTTCTTTTGATGAATATCAGCATTTGATGTTGTTTGAGCTGGTCACCTGGTTTGCTCCACAATCTTTTCCGATTGACATTGTTGTAAACAAACCATTTTTAATCACCAGTTATCAATCGTTTTAAAAATGATTCATTTTAATTACGTTTCTTTAACAAATCGCAGATGTTAATTTGTTATGTTAAATGATTTTCTTTCAGTTCATGAGAAACCCATATATTGAGTTTACTTACATAGCAAAGTTGTTTTAAGCGATTTTCAACGCATGCATGCGATACATGAAGCTTCTCTGCAATCTCATGCGTTGTACTGTGACAGTCCGATTGCATTATTGCTTTGATTCGATAGTCATCAATTTCACCTGGACAACCAGAGCGTTTTTCATCTTTAAGTGAAAAAATCACCAGAACAAAATTTGGCAAACCAATTTTGACACTGCTGTGCTTTTAAAGCTTCATCACTATAAGCAGCACATAACTTTTTGTGAGCTTGAGATGCGTTTTTTCCTTTCTGGAAATAAAAAAAAAGTAAAATATGACAAAAATGTTCATTTTGATTTTCCATTTTTCATCAGACGCCAAACAAAAACCACACAACCCATCAAAAAAATATTTTTAACTGTTGAAGTACCACCTATCAAATAACAAAATGTGTTTGACATTTCGATTGCATCAGCAAACCTAAAAATTCAACTAAAGCCATCTATGAGTGAAATCTGCAATTACTTAGTTGCCAACCCAATATTTGTTTATCTATTTAAAATGGAGAGGTTTCAAATGAAATTTGTAAAAATTCTCTTTAAGGCATACATCATGCTTAATGGCTCACAAGAGCAAACCATATTCTATGCTTATACATCTCTACAATAAACTCGAAAAAATAACTTATTGACTTGGTTACAATAATATGAATGCTATGAGCAAGGATAGTTTTTAATGTATATATATGTGTATAATGCATATATATGTGTATATATATATATATATATATATATATATATATATATATATATATATATATATATATATATGTGTGTGTGTGTATATATATATATATATATATTGATTTGGCAATTGAGTACCATCAATTGCCAAATCAAATCACATTATTTGGCAATTGATGGTACTCAATATTGCCATTAATCAAATGATGCCATCAATTGCCAAACACTGTGATTTGATTTGGAACCATAATTGCACATTACTTGTAATTGTCAAATACTCAGTATTTTGCTCAATTAAATAGAAATACAGTTATTGATGTAACATTTAAGGAGGTAATGAAGCAAGTTTTAAAGCAAAACTCATATTTTGCTAACCCATAAAATATTTTATCAGCAATGATAAAAGAAAACAAGTTAGAACTAGTATTGAATACTATCGAATGCAATAAGCATTTTAAACTTCCTGCAACACTAAATGTTGGAGCCAAAGATTACTGTGAACTGAGAAATTAAGAAAATTGATACCTTACCACCACACCACATTACTGAATGACTATTCAAATTTAAATATTCTGAAAATGACAGTCAGGAAGGAGATGTAAGGCTTCAAAAAAACATAATTTTTTTTTCAATAAATGTTTATTTAAACCTTATATTTGTTAAAATCTTTGTTTAAAAAAATATTTAAAAGATAACATTTATTTAACATACAAATAATTGTTTAGTAGTTAAACAAATAAATTTTAAAGCATATGCCTTTAAACTGCTATATACAACTGTGAGCATGAAAATAGCAGTACTAAAAATTACTTACTTTACTTTCATTATTACTCTTTTTCTGTATAATATAGAAAAACAAATTTTTATGTGTATATTTACAATAATGAGAATAAGTAAATTGAGCATACGAGAATTGAAAAATGAGTGCAACACTCAACATGATGGACCAAAAAAATCTATGGAATCTCTTGCTTCAAAATTGATTTCTGGTATGGATAACTTTTGAACTTTGTTTGCTTTCATAGACCTTGCTTTCATTATTTGTTTTAATGCCAATTTTTTTCACATATGGGCAAGTATTCAATATCATAGCAAGAAGCATGTTTTCCGGATGCACAAAAAAAGAATTCCTTAAATGATAGTTTTTATGTTACTAATGACATACCTGGTTAAATTAATGGTTAGCCATAAATGTCTAGCACCTTATGTGCATGATGGATTACATCTTATATTGAACCATATTTGGTAGTAAACTTTAATAACAAACTCAACAATTTCTTTCAGTCTGTGCAATGACATCCAATTTAATACTGCAAAATTTTGCTTGCAGTGTTCACCCACCTGGCATGGTTAAGTTTTCCAGGATTTCGGTTAGCCAAACCAGATGGACAATAGCCTGTAAATACTGCTGTGCATATATCAAGTTAATATTTTTTGTCAAAACTAAGAGATTTTTGTCTGTTTGTGGCAATGTAATGCTGAAAAGAACATAATTAAGTATTGGTAAGGTTTAATTATGTTCCTGTCAGTATCACAATGTTTAATTTCTCATCCGATTAGTCTATACCATCGGTTAGGTCCAGACAAAGATCCATCGTATTTTTGAATTAGATGTTGTAGAGGCAGTTTATTTGCATGTATTTGACAGATAATACTTTATAATACTTGCTTTATGTGAAAAAACAAGCAAAAAAAAAAATTTTATACAAAGGTCTTACCATAAAACATAGAAATGAGGTCAGCAATTTTTTGCTGATCAAACACTTTTAGGTCGGCAGTTAGGTCGGCATTGCCAAATATAAAAACCCTAATTCTGAGGGTTGATATATATATATATATATATATATATATATATATATATATATATATATATATATATATATATATATATATATATATATATATATATATATATATATATATGTATATATATGTATGTATGTATGTATGTATGTATGTATGTATGTATGTATGTATGTATGTATGTATGTATGTATGTATGTATGTATGTATGTATATAGTTTATTTATAATACTATGTATTTATATTATGTATATTTATAAAAAAAATTACTGTGGTTCAAAAAGATCAGCTTTTATAGTTTCTTTTGCAGATTCTTTACTTTTGTTAACTGTGGGAGCTTTGTAAACAGGTTTTCCAAAAATATCTTTGTTGTCATCAGTTAACTCTTGATGTTGAACAGAGTTTAACTGTAAAGCTGACATACCACTGATAAACATAGGATCATTCATCCAAGGCATTACTTCACCATCCTTACTGAAAAATGGTTGAGGAACCATTCCATTTCCATATAATCCTGGATAGTAGGGGTATTGAGGTTGTACTGACTAAAAAATAATTATTTAAACAACATGCATAAGTATTTATTTATAAATAATTATTTCATTAATGACATAGGGTAAACAGGGCAATTTTTCCACTTTTCTACTTGAATGTTATTCTATTTTACATTTTCACGAAAAACAATTTGCTTTACACACTGATATGAAGCAATCTTATATATATATATTTTCTCAATATTTTATACTGAGCAATCTTTTATGGAGCAATTTTGCTAGTGTAAAATAAGTTGAATATTTGTGTTATTTTATTAAATTAAAAATATTGTGTGCATATGTCAATATTAAGACTTTACATGCCCATTTAAAACAAGGCCATAAGACACACAACAACCAGTTGCTTTATTGATGTTGCTATTATTAGTTTTCGACCAACTTGGTTGCATCAATTTGAAATTAAGTTGGACAAAAATTTATTTTCCTTCAAATTAGTTGCTTGTATTAAATTGGACATTAATTTCTCCTTCTTTGAATCAATTGCCTGCATTCTATTCAAAAACACATCCAAAAATTTTCTATAGTTTTTGATAAGCTTTTCAATAAACTCAGCACTTTTGTGAGGTTGCATGTGAGTTAAGTAAGATAAAACTTATTACCATCTTGTTCGCCTCCTTTTTTTACACTCACATTCTTCTCATTATTATGACAACAGCTGACAATAAGCAAATGTATCTACAATAACCCATCTCTTCCCATACACTGTTAAAAAAAAGATGTTATCAATCACAAGGTAAAGAGATTAATAATCCATTAGAGAGTTAAAAAATATGAACATTAGAACTGGAACAAATCATATTTTTGCACAACTTTCAATTGAAATAAACCATAATTTTTAAAATTAGAAATTTTAATTATTATTCTAATAAAGTAATTTATGAATTATAAATTAGTAAAACTTAAAATCTTTTAATTTATTTTATAATATCTTCATAACACTGTCAACCATCTTATCGTTTCATTATCCCCTTAATATGTTCACAATTTTAAAAAAAGTTATTTAGCAAAAATAGTAAATTATACTAAAAGCAAATAGTAAAAATATATTAAAATAAACAAAAAGATTGTACATAATATTTTTTATAAATTGTGGTTAAATTTTTTATGACTTTGTAGGAAAAGTGTTTAAGAATATTTGACTTGGAAAAAACATCCAATCAAATTTAAAAGACAACAAAAAACATCCAATCAAATTTAAAAGACACAACAAAAAACAGGTTTAACCAATCAATAGTTAGTAGATTATAATTTAAAAAGATTAAATTATATTAGTGGTATGTTAGAATAACATTTTTTCTTTATAATTTCAAAAGTGGCAAAAATTGCCCTTGAGGCAAAATCAGCCCATTCTACTTAAAATAATTAATACAATTATGAACTTTTATAACAAACAAATTAAAAAAAATATATTTTTGTTATATTTTTACATTAAATGTAAACGTTTTAATTTTACATTAAATTTAATTTTTTTTAATTAAAAATATTTATACAAGACTATTAAGCTGAATATAACACATGTTACCCTAAATAATAAATAAGTATTTATAACACATAACTAATAAATAAGTATAAGGGTGAATCGAAAAACTTTTTTTTTTGAATTTCAAATTGTAGTAGAGCAGAAAAATTCCATAACAATATAAATAGTAATTGTACAAAATATTTTTAAATATTTTTTAAGTATTCAGTTGGCGCCAGGGGTTATTTATTTTAAAAAAAATATATATGTTTTTTGTTAGTTGTAAATATGTAATTTATTAGTTCTGATTTGATTTATTTTTGTTCTTTATTAATAAAATAAATTAAAATTAAAGAAAATTTGAATGGCAACGTTTTTTCTGCTGGAGTGGCAACAAGGAGACTTGATGTATCTTCTGTTAACCAGCAGACTTACATAAAAATATCTTACCAACAAATCAAACATGTCATGCTAAATTTTCTTTTCTCAATGCAGAAAATGAGAGTGGAAATTGGTGGAAAACAACTTCTTTGAGGAAAATCTGTAAATCTGGTGAACAGAAATAGAAGATTTGTGGAGAAAAGCATCAATTCTTACTATATCTCATAAATGCATTGTGAAAATGTTTCTTGGTTACAATCCAAAATACAAAAATATTATGAAGTCCGTTAACGAAACAAAATTTATAGACAAATCAAAGCCCAAAATAATAACAATAAGAGATTTATGCGATTATATATGTGGATGGTCTTGATGTTAAAACTACTTCTAAGCTGCGACGCAAAGAAGCGAAAAAAAAACAAAGTATGAAATTCCCTTACTATGTAACCCATTAACATGGTATTGTACTATTACAGGCATGGTCTTGATGTTAAAACTACTTCTAAGCTGCGACGCAAAGAAGCGAAAAAAAACAAAGTATGAAATTCCCTTACTATGTAACCCATCAACATGGTATTGTACTATTACAGGCAATGAAGCTCAAGCAATATCCGAATACGGCTTTCAGAATTAAAGTTTTCATTTTCCATTTCCACATTCTGACTTTGATGACACTCTAATTTGGAATCTGATGACACAAGGTTCAGATACTGATTATTTAGACACATGACACAAGGCTCAGATACTGATTATTTAAACACAGCTGAAGATTGAAAACAAAAACAATAAACAGAAAAGATAAAACCGAACAAATGAGATCACCATTACTATCTTTATTCTTTAACCTACTCTAAGGCACAAACCTGCGTTAGAATAGTTTCAAGCAGGGGTATATAGATGCATATACAGTGCTTGAAGATATGAAAATAATTTTAAAAGGACACCAATTTAAAGAAATTGACTTAAAATGCAACATTTAGACCAGGAAAATATTCAAGATACAACATCAGTTACAGATATTACCAAAGAGAAAATTATACAAAAAACTACCAAAGAAGAACGTACAGTTATAGTAGAAAGTATCTGAGGCATGTAGAGACTGCATCAGGACATGGATACAGTATTAAAACAAGTATAAGCACATTTTTAACTCAAAACAACATTGATACACCCAAATTAGTTGCTATGGGTTGTGATGAAACAGTTATCAATAATGGATTTCTTAATGGTGCTATTGCATTACTCGAATTGGAACTAAAAAGATCTGTTCACTAGTTTATCTGTCAAATACATACAAATAAACTGCCTCTACAACATCTAATTCAAAAATACGATGGATCTTTGCCTGGACCTAACCGATGGTATAGACTAATTGGATGAGAAATTAAACATTGTGATACTGACAGGAACATAATTAAACCTTACCAATACTTAATTATGTTCTTTTCAGCGTCACATTGCCACAAACAGACAAAAATCTCTTAGTTTTGACAAAAAATATTAACTTGATATATGCACAGCAGTATTTACAGGCTATTGTCCATCTGGTTTGGTTAACCGAAATCCTGGAAAACTTAACCATGCCAGGTGGGTGAACACTGCAAGCAAAATTTTGCAGTATTAAATTGGATGTCATCGCACAGACTGAAAGAAATTGTTGAGTTTGTTATTAAAGTTTACTACCAAATATGGTTCAATATAAGATGTAATCCATCATGCACATAAGGTGCTAGACATTTATGGCTAACCATTAATTTAACCAGGTATGTCATTAGTAACATAAAAACTATCATTTAAGGAATTCTTTTTTTGTGCGTCCGGAAAACATGCTTCTTGCTATGATATTGAATACTTGCCCATATGTGAAAAAATTGGCATTAAAACAAATAATGAAAGCAAGGTCTATGAAAGCAAACAAAGTTCAAAAGTTATCCATACCAGAAATCAATTTTGAAGCAAGAGATTCCATAGATTTAATTGATTGGCAAAAATGTGAACTCAATGAACCTCCAAATACCATTCACATCTAAGCTTTCATTCATATAAAAATCTAATAGAAGTGTTAACAAATGTTTGTTCCAGATGTGCAGCATTTTCTATGCCAAACTCAAGGAGTAGAGAAATGCATCAAACTAGTAACCAAGGCTTCAGATCAAGTTTGTGATTTGGTTAGTAGAGAATTAATAGATAGCTTCATTCATGCAAGACTTGCATTGCAAATAATAATTATATACTGTATTTTATACAGTTTCAGACAAAGACAAATGAATCAGATAAATGAAATTTGTAATAGCTAAACTTTAAACAGAGGAGCTTCTCCTCTCTATTAAAATTTCGATTGAATATTATGGCTGCAGAGCTTGTTTGGCAATAACTCACAAAGTGTTTTTTTGTAAAAACCCATCTTTCTAGCAGCAACTAAAGACACTCAAATAATTTCTGAAAAATTATAAACATTTTTAACTGAGTCATTGTGTAATATTTGAACTCTATTACATATCTAGTATATTCATATTTGTATATTTGTTATTTTTGTTTTGTAAAAAATGACAGAAAAGATTTGTTTTTTAAAAAAAAACAACTGAAGACATTAAAAGGTTTAAAAAAATTTGGCACAATTACTATTTATATCATTACACAACTTTTCTGCACTATTACAATTTGAAATTCAAAAAAAAAATTTTCCATACACCCTAATAAGTATTTATAACACATAACTAATAAATAAATATTAATACACAGCACTATTAGTTAAACCATGTGATTATTATGAAACTTTAATTACAATAAACAGTTATTTTTTACTGCTTACATTAGCAGTGTAGCTGTAAAAGATTAAGAAAAGGGGCTTTTATTATTATTATTTTTTTTACCTCTCCCCCATTCTCTGAAAATTAAATAAACCCTCTTTCTAAGTCTTCACTAAACACAACGTGTTAAAAATTTTTAAAATGGGCTTGCTTTTTTAAAATCAAAAAAAAGTTTAACAAAAAGGACTTTGCTCCGATCAAACCCCCTCCCTCTTTTACTACAGCTCTGGGATAGTCTTGTGCAAATATGCAATATATTCATTTATTATTAAATTTTACTTACAAACAAGCTCAAAAAAAATAGTGCATTTTAAAATACTTAAACATACTCCCATCACTTCCCATCTCATCTGTGATACTGATCGAGGAACACCATCTTTATCAATGCGTCTAGGCTGCCACTAAATTGTGATGTAAGTCTGTAGTGACATCAAAAAAATATTATGATGTAATGATATCATGAAATAATCATGATATAATCACATCATATTTACTATCAAAAACATAAAAACATGATTTACATGTTTACAAATGATGCCATTACATCAAATGTCAACAGTGAGTCAAGGCCCACAAATCTGACAATATTGACACTTTTTTACTTAGTAAATTAGTTTAGTTGCTTGAATTGAAGACTATTTTAAAAAGAAAACCTTTTTTCGGAAATATCATGATTTGAGTTAGTTACGCCATTCTGTATAGTAACTTCTTTTTTTTTAACATCTTCGCTTCCAACAAAGTTGGAAGTTACTGGAAGAGAAAAGATGAAGATTGTAGAGCGAGATAACAATTGACAGATGAGTTAAAAGATTGCAATATCAGAATTCGGCTTTCTTAAAAGATTGCAAAAAAACTAGACAAATAAGAGTTTTTGGAGCACTTAGGAACAGTAACAGAAAAAGGATGAGACTTAATTGAATGACGAGTAACACGAGAATGAATTTTAGTAGATGGCACAAGAGATGCTAGCTCTTTAGAGCAGTGCCCATTATAGCATTTGAAGAAAAGAGAAAAAGAAGCAACATTACGACGATGTGACAGAGGTTGAAGGTTGGCTGCAAGAGCAGACCCAACTATGTTTACAATGTGTTTTTGCACCTTGTCTAAAAGAGAAAGGGCATCATTAGAAGATCCGCCCCAGATATGGCAACAGTATTCCATACAAGGTCAGATTTGAGATTTATAGAGGTAAAGAATAGAAACCAGAGTAAGAAAATGTGGAGAGCTCGATAAAGAGATGCAACCTTAGCAGATGTTAATTTTGCAACAGATTTGATATACGGTTTCCAAGAAAGATCGGAAGTAAGAGTTAATCCTAGAAGATTAAGGGTAGATGACCCATCAAGTACATTACCATTCATAAATATAGCAAGATCTAAATTATTGCAATAACAATTGGCTGAGTTTTATCTGAATTTTTATTTATTTTTTTTTATTTTACTTCACCTCCTCAAGGCCGAGAAGGCCACTACAAACGAGGAGGCTACTTATTTTGTGGCTATAACCTTCTATCAACTCTTTAACTCCGAAACACGAACCTTGACAAACAAGGCCGCTGCGCGGAGAAACGAGTTGAGCGCAGTACTACCAGGGACGTGGTGGGAATCGAACTCGGAACCACTCGTTTATGAAGCGAGCGCTCTACCACTACACCACTACCGCATTAGTAATTAAAGTTCACTAGCCACTGTGAGCCCCATGCTGTTGCAGAAGTCAAATCTTTTTCAAGCTCAGATGCCCCCTCCAACCAATCAGAGAGAGTTGGCTTCTTATTATGACAAGAATAAATGGTAATCATCAGCGAACAATGCCATCTTAGATGTGAAAATATCTGGAAGATCGTTGATGTAAACTAAAAAGAGTATAGGGCCAAGGATTGAACCTTGAGAAACCCTGAGGTTACATAATAAGAAGAAGAGTGCTGTCCATCGAGGACAACTTTTATACTACGATTAGAAAAGAAAGATTCAATAATCTTAAAGATGTTTCCAGATACACCATAAGAAGAAAGCTTATGGAGAAGACCAGCATGCCAAACTTTATCAAAAGCTTTAGAAATGTCAAGAGCGATGGCCTTAACCTCTCCATCTTTATCTAATGCACAATAAAATCTATCAGTTATTACTGTTAGCAAATCAGCTGTAGAATGAGAAAATCGATAAGCACCTTTTAAATAGTTTTGAAAGTATAGACGACAGCTCCGGAGAACAGAGAAAAGGAACTCATGCTTTCTGACTATATTTTTATATTTCTATAAAATCAAGTTTAGCGACTTGATTTTTTATTCGTTATTAAATGAGTTAAATATGAAGTTTTTTACTGTTGAACTTTTGACAAGATTTTTTAAATGTTTTCAAATGATTATTAAAATTACTTACTTGTTAAAGTTGTAAAAAAATTTACTACTTAATATTTTAATTCAACTAATTAATCATTGAAACAAATGTTTAAAAAATGCTTTTTAAATTACGTGTCAACATACAAATAAAATTACAAGACATTGTTTGCATGTTGACATTTGGCTTTTTTTTGCCTCAGCCATATAAAATATTTTAATATATTAAATTTTAATTAAATTAAATATTTCTTAATACCAAATACATATAAAAATAAATATAAATCAAAAAATTCAGTAAAACTTTTTAAGCTTAAATTTTTAAAAAAACCTGACGATTCCTAAGATCAATCACATCCTTCAACATAAACCGGATTCTAGATGGAAGTTCATCAGACTGGGACAGCATATAAATTCTCTCAAAGTACTGATTCATTATGTTCTAGAAAAAAAAAAACTAGTTTTTACTTCCTTTGGAAACTTAATAAAAATTATTATTGAAAATAAGAGAAAGAATAATCATAAAAAATATACAACCAATCGGAATTAAGAAAAAATATACAACCATCAGAAATAAGAAAAAATATACAACCATCGGAATTAAGAAAAAATATACAACCATCTGAATTAAGAAAAAATATACAACCATTAGAATTAAGAAAAAATATACAACCAATCGGAATTAAGAAAAAATATACAACCAATCGGAATTAAGAAAAAAATATACAACCATTGGAATTAAAAAAAATATACAACCATCAGAATTAAGAAAAAATATACAACCATTGGAATTAAGAAAAAATATACAACCAATCGGAATTAAGAAATAATATACAACCATCGGAATTAAGAAAAAAATATACAACCATCGGAATTAAAAAAAATATACAACCATCAGAATTAAGAAAAAATATACAACCATCGGAATTAAGAAAAAATATACAACCATCGAAATTAAGAAAAAATCGGCAATAAATTGCTGATTTTTTCCTAATTCTGAGGTTGGCAACAAATTGCTGGCTTTAAACTGTTAGCTGTTGTCATGAGGTCAGCAAAAAAACTTTGAAATTCACAATGGGGTTACCATAAAACATAGAAACAAGGTCAGCAATTTTTTAAACACATTAAGGTCAGCAGTTAGGTCAGCATTGCTGAATACCGACCCTAAATCTGAGGGCTTAAGATATAATATATTGTTGGAAGTGACACAAACAATAACCATAAAAATATATCATATATTGTTGGAGCTGAGACCAAGAATAAGCATAAAAATATATCATATTGTTGGAAGTGAGACCAAGAACAAGCATAAAAAATATATCATATATTGTTGGAAGTGAGACCAAGAATAAGCATAAAATATATATCAAATATTGTTAAAACTGAATAAAACAAGAATAATTTTAAAAAAATGTTTTAAACTTTAACTTGTTAAAAATTAATTGGTTTGATATTAACATGGTTTTCAGATAATGGATAAACAAACTGCCAAACATTTATAGGAATACAGAGTATCTTCTATTACTTGGATTCCAAATACTGGAATTCAAGAAATATAAGATGATTTTAGATTCCTTGTACTAGTTGAATGAGGGATAATAAGTTTAAGAATTATTGTGAAAATCAAATAGGAAAAGAAGTAATTTAAAAAGGGAAAGAATTAGTGAAAAAAGTCAAATAAAGAAAACAAGATTTACAAAAATTTATACATTTCAAAATGTATGACACATTTCAAAATGTATTACTTTCTATCATTTAATAAATTAATGCAATGATTCTTAAATACATATATAAATTTGATTAAATTTCAACTAGCGATGTTTTGGAGAATAAAGTAAACCAAGTTATCTCATAATAACTAACTTTATTGTCATTTTATAATGTATTGTGTAAGATGTTCAGATACTGTATATCAGATAAATTCAAAAAATTACAAACCATTGCATGAAAATTATTTACATGAGGTACTTATTTTAATATGATTTCAAAAACATATGGCATACAGCTTTTTTATGAAAATTGAATTGTGAAAATATTGAATTGTGAGTTTAAACCTACTTGCGCCTTTTCTGTATCTAATCTCTGTCCAATAGTACTCATTATTTGACACAAGCATTCAATATCTTCTGCCATATCAGACAATGATGTCTTTTTTTTCTTAGCAAGACACTAAATAAAATTTTTTTTTAAATTCTTATTTATAGTAAATTATCATGTTATAACTAAAAAATAAGAACACATATTTACACCATATTTACATTACTATAAAAACACATAGTTACACTATTTAGGTTGTTATAAGAACACATAAATATTTAAATTGCTATAAGAACACATAATTACACATTTACAGTACTACAAGAACACATTACAGTACAGAGCTTAACAAATCATCTGGTTTTTTATATTTTCTATAGGTATTTTTAGAGTTTTTTTAATTGGTTTTTTAAATTAGTTTTTTATAGGTTTGACTTATTTAGACATGTATTATACATATTTATACAATGTGAACATCCAAATGTTTTTAAAATGCGAACACACATATTTTTATGATATCAACACATACATGTTTCTATGATATCAACACATGCATGTTTCTATGATATCAACACATGCATGTTTTAATGATGTGCATATTTTTAGAATATAATGAAAAATGAAATAAATAATGTTTTTGTTAAAAAGAATATAATGAAAAATTAAATAAATAATGTTTTTGTTAAAAAGAAAGTTTAATTAAAATACTTTGCTTTTTTTGTAACAAACATTTTTGTGTTATCAGTAGGAACTTTAAGTTTTTCTGTTGTTGTTTTTCTGTTAAAACAATTGAAGTAAAAAATCTTAATTGATAGAATCACAAAAGTTGAAATAAGAAACCTGAAATAAGAAAAAAAAAAGATAACCTGTTGAATACATTTATGCAAGATGGCTTCTTGCACCAATTCCAACTTTCCGAGCTCTCCTGATAAAAAACATTTTAAAATTCTTTAAAGTTTTTTTTATCCATTAATATTAGCTCAAATATTAGACGCTAACAAAAAAAATTAAAATGGAAAAAAAAAATTAGAAAGTAACAAAATAAAAAAGTAACAAAAAATTAGAAAGTAATAAAAAAAAAAATAGAAAGTAACAAAAAAAAATTAGAAAAGAACAAAAAAAAAAAAAAAATTAAAAAGTAACAAAAAAATTAGAAAGTAACAAACAAAAAAAAAATTAGAAAGTAACAAAAAAAATTTAAAAAGTAACAAAAAATTAGAAAGTAAGAAAAAAACAATTAAAATTAAAAAGTAACAAAAAAAAAATTAGGAAGTAACCAAAAAAAAACTAGAAAGTAACCAATAAAAATTAGAAAGTAACAAAAAAAAATTAGAAAGTTACAAAAAAAAAAATTAGAAAAGAACAAAAAATAAGAAAAGTAACAAAAAATTATAAAATAACAAAAAAAAAAAATTTGGAAGTCACAAAAAAAAAATTCAAAAGAAACAAAACAAAAAAAATTTGAAAGTCACAAAAAAAATTAAAAAGAAACAAAAAAAAATTAGAAAGTAAAAAAAAGTATTTTTCATTTGTGTCTTGGACACAAATGAAAAATATTCAAATCTTTTAAGATATAAAAAAAAACAGCAAGTTAACAAAATTAAATTCTACATTTTTATTAAATTTAGAATATTTAAAAAAAGAAAAATTACATTGACAGCCGAATAAACTAAAAATATTATTTAGATATGTTTACAATATACAAAAATATATTTACATACATACGAAATTTAAATATTACTAAATAACTAAATAAGATCATTACCAATGAATCTAATATTTCCCAGCATCTTTCTTTTTGCTTTGGTCTTTTCATGTTTCTCATCAGCTGTGAGCTGTTCGTGCTTATCGAAAGCTTAAATATATAAAAAAACATGTTTTGTATTTTTTTTCCCTAATATCTCAAAACATCTATGAGAGGGTTAGGTTGTTGTTGCCCTAAACAGCTTACACACACACACACACACACACACACACACACACACACACACACCACACACACACACACACACACACACAAGCTAAGCAAGAATGAGTTTTGGTTGATTGAACTACATGATAGATCATTTTTTTTGAGTTGAAATCCTTAAACCACTACAAGTTCTAAGTGATCAAAAGGTGAAGACCATAGTCAAGACATTAGTATAAAATTGAATTGTCATCAAATAGAGCCACTTTATATGTAAGATTGTCAGGAAGTATTTTTTTGTAGATAAGAAACAATACAGTAGCAAAGATAGAACCTTGTCGCGCTCCTAAAATTACTGGAAATGAAGAAGAGTGGAGGCCATCGAGAACACTGCAGTTAAAAAGGAGTTATTTAATAATTAAAAAACCTTCAAGTAAAGAAACTAATAATAGAGAGAAGACTAATTGCAGAATAGTTCAAGAGGTCAGAGTATTTTCTAGAGTTTTTAAAAATTGGAACCACTATTTTAGCACTTATTAATAGTTTAACAGGGTTCCCACTATTAAAACTAAGGCTAAAATTAAGGATTTTAATGAGATTTGAGGAGATATTTTCCTAATATTTAAGGAGATTTGGTTGCGAACAACATTTTTTTGAAAGAAAAAGTAAGGATAATTAAGGAGAAAACGATTACAATGAAAACATAATCTTATTTTTTTCAATAAATTTTAAACATAAACAGAGAAATTACTATTACTTTATATATATATATATATATATATATATATATATATATATATATATATATATATATATATATATATATATATATATATATATATATATATATATATATATATATATATATATATATATATAAATTTATATATTTATAGGAACCCTGTTTAACAAGAACTGAAGAAAGTTCTGGTGAACACTTTTGAAAGACTATGATGGAAATGTTGTCTGAACCACAAGCCATAGAATAGTTTAATTGAGAATTGACTTTAGCATCAGAAGCGGAAATGATTTGGATGTCTAACAATGGTTTAACTTGTTTAATTGGATTGGCAGCAATAGTATGGCCATTAGAGCAGAAATAAGATCAGACCCATGAATTAGGTATGGAATATTAGACTTGCTTTGGTTAATGACACTGTTGAAGATTTCCCAAGTTTCTAGGAACTAACACCTGAGATAGAATACAAGATTTAGTAAACTGAGAATAATGAAGCTTAGCATCAGAAAGGACCTTTTTACACTGACTTCTTGCAATAATAAAAAGACATTTGTTCTAAAGAGAGATGTTCTTGTAAATAAGATGAAAAAAATGATTACGGTTAAATATAGCAACTGCACAAGAAGGTGAAAAAGGTGGAGTAGAATAAGGCTTTGCTTTAAAGCGATGAAAAAGAGTTAAAGCTAATACATGCCTGGATACAGGAGGTTAGGTATAAGGCACATTTATAATATCGATTTAAACATATATGTTGCTATTTATTTAGATGCTGGTATACAACATCCTTACATATATACATAAACTTTAGTATTTATATGGTATAGTATTACCAAATAAGAGAAGATGATGACCAGAATAGCGTGCGGTTTGACTCTAACAAGGCAGCCATAATTTTAGACAAAGATGTGCATATATATATATATATATATATATATATATATATATATATATATATATATATATATATATATATATATATATATATATAACCCTCGGAACTGTTAGCATTTGGTGATGCCGACCTAACCGCCGACAAAGTGTTTGAGGTTGGCAAAAAATTGCTGACCTCCTTTCTATGTTTTATGGTAAAACCTTTGTTTTACATTTTTTCTGCCGACTTCACACAGATTAAGGTCGGACAATTATTGCTGACCTGATTTTTCCTAATTCCGTGGGATGTATGTATGTATATATGTATGTATGTATGTATGTATGTATGTATGTATGTATGTATGTATGTATGTATGTATGTATGTATGTATGTATGTATGTATGTATGTATGTATGTATGTATATATATATATATATATATATACAGGGGTCGAAATAAGTGCCGGACATCGCCGCCCCTCAGACCATTTTTGAGACCTGCTAGATAAGGACAACAAACCATTGTTCATTTTTTCAGTAAAAATGAACAATGGTTGGTTGCCCTCATATAGCAGGTCTCAAAAATGGTCTGAGGGGCGGTGATGTCCGGCACTTATTTCGACCCCTGTATATATATATATATATATATATATATATATATATATATATATATATATATATATATATATATATATATATATATATATATATATATATATATAATATCTCTTTTACTTGATCTTTCATAAATAGTTTAAAATGTCTATCAACATCTGAAAAAAATAAATAAAACTAATTGTTGAAAAAAACAATTGATTTTTGATAGAATATAATAGTATTCATGTAATTATAAAAATCTTACCAGAAGAGGCTTTTGACCTTGTTTCAAATTCTTCTTGACATCGGTTAAGTAAAAGACGTAAAAAAGTCTAATAAATGCAAAAAGTAATTTTTAATTATTTCATTTTAAAACTTTCAGGATGTTTTCAAGAATTAGGACTTTTCAAAAATCATGTTTTACTTTTTAAAACTTACAACTGGCTGTAAAGAGATCTTTAAGTGCCAAGACAAGTTGTGTTTATATTATAGAATATGTTTTTAAAAAAATGTTTGGGCTAAATTTTTTTGATTAAAACTAAATAATAAATGCATATCAATAAAATTAAAATTTTTGTTTCAGTCAAAGTTTGTCTTCTCCATTTTTTCTTGGTTCTTAAAGTCTTTATAATATACACCATAATCTGCTGACTGCATAGAATAACTCATGTGCATTATAATTCATTTAACAGTTTCAGTATATGATGCTATTGTGGATTTTTTTTTAAGATAATAAAGTATTTTTTGTTCAGAAAATCATTTGTATAATTTTTCATTAAATTCTAATAAATATACGTTAATACAATTAAAAAATAAAACAACATATTTGGTTCCTCAATGATCAGGATTATTTTTAAATTAATATATCTTTTATAAAAGATATTTTATAAAAGATAAAGAAAAAGATTTTATATTATAAAATAATTATTATATAAATATATATACTTAATATATTTGCTTTATTTTTTTCAAAATTTGTTGATCGAATGAAATATGATTAAATACATTAATTTCTTTAGGTAATTGTTACATAAGTGGCTTTAGGTAGATGTTCTATTGCTCTAATTTTGAGACGTAGCTGTCTAAGTAGTGGGTTCGAATCCTCCATCAGAAACTTTTTTTTAAAAATTAAATTTTATTTAATTTTTTAAAAAATAACATAAATGTTTTGATTATTTTTCTCGACTAATATTGTTTATTTATAGTTAGATTACATAACATTGTTGTTAATTATAGTTTATTTAGGTAGTCGCAGTCGAGTGTACATATAATGACTGACTTAAATAGGAATAGCAGTGCCATACCCAGCAATAGTTTGGGCGCTATTGTTGGGCATTTATTTACATTAAATTAATTATTGTTTAAAAAAATTTATTTGGGTGCCCATACCACTCAAACGGTATAGAATTATGTCTGGATACGACACTGGATAAGCGCAAATAATAATTAAAAAGTAAAACAAAATTTTGTCACTTAGAAAACTTCAAGTAGATAAAATAAGTAATAAGAACTTTACAAAATAAATTTGATATAATATATTCTTACACAAACAAATGTATTTCATTAGGATGTGAAAGTAAGCTAACTTTATAATATAAAAATCTAGAGAAAGAAATATACTTGCAATTGTTAAAAACAAGTTGTGCTACTGAAATCTCAAAACCAAATATATTATTTTATTTTTGATTGAACCACAAAATTTTTCGAGATTTAGTAAGAAAATATACAAATAAATATGATTTGCTGATTGTGGCAAAAAAAAAATTCTTTGATATTTTTAGAAAAAAATCCACAATGATGTCATATACTGAAAATGTTGAGAACCAAGTGCGAACAAAACAAATAAGTTTTATTGATATGCATTTATTTATTTTAATCAAAAAAAATTAGCTTTAACATTTTTTTAAAACATTTCCTTTAATATGAACTCAGCAATTTAAATATTTTGTTTTTGAGATTTTAATATGTTAAGTGCAATACAAAAGATGGAGAGCCTCAACTAGATGTTTCTATTAGATTATATTTTCAAGGTAATAATATTCTCAAATTCAAACTTTAAAAATCTCTAAAAAATTTATATTCAAACACTGTTAAAAAAGTTAAAATGTTTTTTTATTACAAACATAATTAAAGGTTTTAAAAATACATACATTGGTTTTAGTAGGTGGGTCATCAAAATTAGGTAATTCATTATTAATTTTCTGACAAAGTCTTGCATAAAGGCTTGAATAATTTTGTTCATCTATAGCTTTTTCAAATATCTAAAACAAAAAATAAATTAAAATAAATTCAACTAAACAATATTTTAATCACAATCTAAAACTAAAATAAGATTTACTTACTAAAATAATAATATTGTTCAGAACAGTTTTATTAGTAATTCCAATATGTACCAAGTCCTGACTCAACTTGTCAAATTTTTCTGGTGTTAACTTATTCAATATTCTAAAATAAAAATTAAAAAACATGAAAACATATATGAAAAATTAAAACTAATTAAAAATGTAAAAGATTACTTCATCTGCCCAACAACATCTGTAGAGTAGATTGTCTGTACACTTTTGACCAATATCATCTGTGTTTTTTTTTCACTTTAACAACATCTATCCAATATCATTTGGAAAATCAATGACTCCTAACAACATCTTTAAGAAGAAGTAACTATATCTGGTAATTTTTCATTAAGTCCAATAACATCTTGAAGAGTTTCCTCCAGATGTAATTACATCTGAAAAAAATTTTATATGTAACTACATCTGGTTAAAATAATGCATTATTATGTAATAATTTTTCCAGATGTAACAAATCTGAAAAAAACCATATATGAAACCACATCTGGTTTAAATAATGCATTATAACTTAATAATTTCATAAAATCCTCTAGTTATATTTAATATAATTGAAAAGATGTAACTACACTTGTAGAATTCACAGATGTAGTTATTCTTAACATAATTGAAATGGTGTAACTACATCTGTAGTAGTCATATATTTTTTACATAGATGTTATTAGATATCAATGAAATTTCAGATGTGGTTTGGCAGATGTTATTATACCTCAGTGTATTTGCAGATGTTGCTGGAGAGATGAAGTTATATATAATTATATTTACAGATGTTGTTGTACAGATGTTATTTTACCTCAGTGTATTTACAGATGTTGTTGGATAGATGTTATTTTACCTCAGTGTATTTACAGATGTTGTTAGAGAGATGAAGTTATACATAATTATATTTACAGATGTTGTTGGACAGATGTTATTATACCTCAGTGTATTTGCAGATGTTATTGGACAGATTTTATTAGACATTGCAAAAACTAATGCTGTTACCCTGACCCATTAAAAAAACTAATTAATAGCACATTTTTTTACATTTAGTAATTTATTCATTAGATAATAATGCAGCATATGGTTTTTGCTAAACTTTCTAAAACTTTTAAGAACTTCTTTTTTTTTTAGGATCATTAATGCAGTGTATACATGCCATGATGTTAAACTATATTGTTATGTAACTATATTGGGTCAAATGAAGCTCTTTAGCCATGATGAACTTACTTAGGAAAAATAGTAGGTAATAGTGGCTTGTAACGGTAATCCTTTTAATGGTACTAACACAAAAAATCAACTTAAAAAATCAAAACAGGATAATAAATAATAAACTTTACCACAAAATTATGAAAAATATAATCAAACAATGAGTTTAAACAACAAAAATTGATCTGCAAAGCAGGTTAACACCAAGAAGGTCAACCTTAAATTCATATTTAATTAAAAAAAATGATATTGGAAAGTCTAAACCACACAAGTGTAGAACCATAGACATTACACTTAAAAAAAAGTGAGTTAAATCTATGTTTCAACTTAAATCAAATCGTCCATGGAGAAAGCCAATATATCTTGCTTTATACTGATTACTCTTTGAACAATGCATTTTCATAGAACTTGAAAATTTTCATGTTTGTTTCAAAAGACAAAAAAAATTATAATCAGTTTTATAATTCATGTTATTGGATAAGTGAGTAAATGAAGTACTTTTTCAATTTTATTTTTGTTTTAAACAAAAGTTTTCTTATTTAAGGCTTTACATGCCCCACTCTTTCTCTCCCCACTCTTACACAATCTATCTTTTTAAATTTTCCCTCAACAAATCCATCAACAATATATTGTCAACACAAAGTTCACATTCAAGACGAGACAGACGATACAAAACAATATTTGGCTAAAAACCTCTATTAAAAAAAAAAAGCAATGGAAATATTATTTGTGAAAGCAGTCAAAGAGCAAAATAATTTTTAAAGGCTAAGAAAGATATTAAATATTAGATTAAATATTATTAGATAAACATTAGACTCTGCCTAATAAATAAAGCTGAATATAACTGATAATACAATGATAAAAATGTATAAAATGATAATATAAATGATGCATAAAAAGATATAATGATAATCAAAATTAAAAGTAAAAATAAAGCATATACATGGTTTATTAAATCAAAGAACAAAAAACTAGTTTGGATATCAACAAAAAAACTTAACTATTTTTTCCTAATTATTTAATTAAAATTACTTAACATAAAATCTTCAATAAAAATACTGTATGTAGAACTTTCATTTAAATGATTTGATAAATAAAATTGGACATTTAAAAGATTTAACATAATGAAAAATCAGAATGAAACATAAAATTGGACATTTAAAAGATTTGAAAAATAATGAAAAATCAGAATGAAACATAAAATTGGACATTTAAAAAACCACATTCACGTGATTTTTTAAATGTAATCTTTTTTAAAAGAAATTATATCTACATGAAAATATTATGGATAATCATATTTTTTGACAAAGCTAATTTTTTTTTAACTTCAAGTTTTAATATATAAAAAAGATCGCATAGAATCATATGACTTACCCTCTAACTCTGCGTAAAATAAGTTCATTTTGATCAGTAACATCATGCAGAAATTGTTGAGATACCCACTTTTTAGAATTGCTTGCTTTATTTACTGGAAATTTCTGGTTGTCATCTAACAAATTTTCATGCTTTGAACTCAATAAAGACTGTTTATATCTATAAAATGCAAACAAGAGAACTTATATAAATTATTGATCCAAAATAAATTGTTGATTCAAAATAAATTTTTTTGAACTATCCAATTTATAAAAACAAAATTAGTAACCCTTTCTTAATAAATCCGTTTTGATATGTAGATGTCACTTCATATTGTTGCGGAGAACTCTCCTTTGAATAAGACTGCAAAAATACTGAACTAGATCGGTCCAGCTTAGCGAATTAATGAAACTGTGTCTAAAAAAAAAAATTATTTTTAACTTTTTAAAATACCAATAATTTAAACAGCATTTTTTTGTAAATTAATTATTAAAAATATTAAACTATATTTACTTATATTGTTTAAATTTATAATGAAAAAAAATACTTTTAAATGTTTATTTTTAGAATTATATTTATTTTAAAGTACTTTAATCTATAATTTTCAACTTTTTTGTTGTTTAAACTCATTGTTTGAATATATTTTTCATAATTTTGTGGTAAAGTTTATTATTTAATATCCTGTTTTGATTTTTTAAGTTGATATATTGTTTATTACTTTGATTTAAACATACAACAAATTTTCATAAAAAATTCAAATTTTGTTAGTTTGTTACACTTTGCTAATTACTAACATCTTGAGGGTGTTAGCAATAGGTATAAAATTCCAAAAGATCAAAAAAATTAAAAATTTACATCAGTCTTAGACTTAAAGCGATCTCAAACCTCCAAGAAATGTTGTGTTCTCCGAAACCTCCGAGACATGTTGTGTTTCTCCGAGACATGTTGTGTTCATATTAAAGAGAATGATAAAAAAATGTTTAGATAATGGATCTTTTGAAACAAATGAAAAAATTAATGATATCATGTACTAAAACTCTCAGGAATAAAACGCCTATTTTTGGCCTACAACAAAATGGAGAAGGTGAGCTTCAACTGAAATAAAAAAGTTAGTTTTTCTTGGTATGCATTTATTCTTTTGCTTTAATCAAAAAAATTAAGGCCAAACATTTTTTATCATTCTTTTTAATACAGGCCTTTGTGTAAGAGGTGTGCGGTTGCACGCTTTATATGACCACGCATATAATACTTTCTTTTGACAACTTGGTCACGGCTTTTTGCAAGTTTTGACAATTAGCGCTTTTAAAAAATGCGATAAAAAAAACAAGCAAATATAAATGCAATTTTTAATTTAATTGATTCCATAATTCCAATTAAACTGAGTAGTTTATTGCAATATAATAAAAGGCAATAATTGAAAAAAATATTCAGATTAGAGTTTTAGATAAAATGAGTACAGAAGTTATCAAGAAATAAATACAAACCGTTTTATCATAGAAATATATTTTCTAATAAAAAAAGAATTAGAATAATCTTGAAACAATCGCATCTGCCAACTACTTTTTAACTATCCCAGGACGCTACATATCGTTTTTTTTTTTTAATGAACGTTGACTTGTGTATCTTTATTTATTGACAAATGTCTAATTTAAGAGATTTATGTCAAATAAGGGAGTTTTTTTTTCAAATAATTATTATTCTAGTTAATAAGTTACAAAATACATCACAGATGGTAAATTTATTTAGTTTTTTTTTTCAAAAAAATTTTTTTATACATTTGCAAAGTGTGTGCAAATTAATGATAAATGCACACTAAAAAAAACTTTTTAAAGTGTTTTTAATATGCAAACAAACATTACTTCACTTTAAGGAAAAATAAGAAAATTGAAAAAAAAAAGCATGCAAAATGTTATTTATAATGAATTCATTCGCTTTAAACTTTCAATGTAATTGCTAATTACATAAAAGAAACCATGCTTTAACATTATGATTGCTTTCTTCAATAAAAGAAAGCAATCGAAATGTTTAAGCACGGTTTCTTTTGAAGTTTTCGCAAAAGCATTTAAGTAAAATTTCAAGTAAAATTTTGCATGCTTTTGTGGGTGCATGCAAAAGTCATGCTAAAACATAATTACTTTCTTCTAAAGCGTACTTTTAATTAAAATTAATGTTATTTTATTTTACCTAAAAGTAACGCTCTTGAAAAATGTAATTATGTTTTGGCATTTATTTTAAGTCTCTGAAATGAACTGTTTTTTTATTTTAAATATATGTTTTTTTATAATAAATAAAATCAATCGCAAAATTATTTTGAAAAAAAAAACTGCTGAAGTAATGCATTCGTTTTGAAAAATCTTAATCAAACACCAAAGTTTGCATAAGCAAAATTAAAGAAACGTGTTATTTGTTTTTCTTTCTGTCTTTTAACAAATGCGCGCACTGTATCCTATTAACTTTTTAATAAAATTTAAAATTTGCACAACAAAATTTTATTAAATTTCATTGTACTTTTAAACAGCCTAAGTTACTTACGTTTTTAAACAAACACCCTCATGACCCTTTCCTTTACTATGGATTCCCCCTTATATTAGCCTATTTATTCATGGGAGGAAAAGATACAGATTAATAAAGCTATGATAATTTTTTTTTTATTTTTACTTTCGCTTCCAATTAAGTTTACATTAATTAATAAATATTTTAATTTTTTTCCTGGTTTTTCCTCTATTTATTTTATCATTCTTTAAAATTTTATTTTTTTAGGTTAATTTTTGTACTTTTAAGGATTTTATTCTCTTTTCAGTTTATGGATTGTTTATTTAAACTTGCTTTTAGTACATTTTTTAAACGCGCTAATTATCGAAACTTGCAAAGAGCCATGGTCAAGTTCTTAAAACAAAGAACTATATGTGTGGTCATATATGGTGTGTGACCACACGCCTCTTATGCGAAGGCCTGTTAATATGAACACAACATGTCTCTGAGGTTTGGGATCTCTTTAACAACAAAATCGTTAATAAAATAATAAACTTTTAATAAACAAAGTAAATAAATTAAAATAATTTTTCTTAATTGCTAATTTTTAATTTCTTAATTGCTAATTTTTTTTTTAATTTATTATTAAAAAAATAAAAGAAAATAAACATTTTCTTATAAGTAATAACAAAAAAAAAGTTAAATAATGTTTAACTCATTTTGTGGTAATTAATATTATTGTAGTAATTTAAAAAACGTCAAATTCACATTAGGCTATTGCGTTAAGCATTTTTATATTTAAAACAAGGCCTGATAACAACAAAAAATCAAAAATAAAACTTGCAAAGAAACATATTATTTATGTTATATTTGCATAAAACATAAAAAAAGATAATTAAATATACACAAATTTTATTTTTCTATATTATTTACAAATGCAAAAGTTTAATTTACAAAAAAAACATTTATAAAAATTTTTCAAAAACAAATACAAAATCTACATAAATTTTGCATTTATTATTTTAAAAAACAATATTTGTATTTAAAGATTTATAAATTTAAATACCTAGTATACTAAATATTTAAATGCGCAGATTAAATTTACTAGCTGCCCTCGTGCGACAAACGAATCTCACTCTACCCCTTAAATGACTTTGTTGTTTAAATCAATTCTAAAATAGCTTATTGCAACGAAAGTTCTTTTAACTAACATTCTATTCAACCGAAATTTGTGAGCCAAGCAAGTTTCTCATTTAAAAGCTATCGATTTAAATAAGTTTTTTTACTTATGGCTGACGACATTTTAAAGCCTTAAATACCATATTTAATGCAATTTTAAACCACTATAAATTTATTTAAAATTTACACATAAAAATTTATTTAATGATAAAAATTATAATATAAAATTAGATAAACAAAAATACAAATATAGAGGTAAAAAAAGTTCAAAATTTTTTTTTAAGTATTTTAAAACTTTTAGTTTTAAAATACTAAAGTATGTAAAAACTTAAATATTCAAAAATCACACCATGTTTTTATTGACAGTCCTCAATTAAAAAGTTGTTTCAGCTATTTAAAAAAATACAAGAGAATCGTGAAAACAGTCAAAAAGGTTTTGTTAAAAATTTAATACTATTAAACGTTTTGTCTTTTTTATATTTATTTTCATTTTTAAATTATAAATGTTTTGTTTACATTTATAATTTAAAAATGAAAATAAATATAAAAGAAGACAATATATGACATATTTTAACTTTAAGTGATGTAAATATGTGTATTGAGTAAAATTACATTTACTTGTATTATGCTTTTTTGTTCACAGCAAAATCTCATAGGAAGGCCTGTAATTATTATAATGCAAAACAATATCTTCATTTTATATTTTCAATTGAAAGACTTTGCAAATTGGACTTGTCTCTTTTTTTTAACAAAAATTAAAAACAAAAAGTAAAAACCCAAAACTGGCAATACTAGTTTCAGAACCAAACACATGGTCTTCTTCAAGCTTAACTAGTAATATATGAATCAAAAAATTGTAGTAGGTCTTTGGAGTGATTCATGAAGGTGAATTAATTAAAGAAAAAAATAGAAAACTTACAAATGATTGGTTTTTTAAACTTAATCAAATAGGAAAAAATGTTGAGGACATGGATGTGTACTCTCTCTCTCAAAGAAAACTATTTACTGTTTTATTGCAAAATGTTTACTGAAACAAAATTTAATTTCTGGGTCATGACTAAGATGACATTATTAAAGAAGAGCTCCTTGTTGAAAGAATAAGATTTTAAAAATTTATTTCTATTGCCACATCACATGAAAAAGTAAAAACATGGATATTATTTAGGTGCTCCAAAAATTCTTAACGGTCATATCAGAGAGCACCACGGAGTAGCTTTTAACCAGAAAATCCACAACTCCTTTTTACCAATGATGCATATATGGTCAGAGCCAGCTTTGAATGACAGACCTTTATCTCTGAAACTATAACTCTAAACACTACACCACAGCAGCAAATTAGTCTTGAAAACCCTTGCTACACCACTGGAAGTGCTCCTTTAGTAACAACAATATAAAAAGTAATTTGCTTACACAGTTTTGTTTTAATTTACTTTTTTTAAAACACTGTGTATAATATTTTTGCTATTTAAGTTTATCTGTAATTTTAAAAACATAGGTGCCTTTATCAAAACATGATTCAACTTTTTTTTTCTGCTTCAAAAAATATATTTTTTTTTTATGTTTTATTATGATGTATAAACAAAAAAAAATCATAAATAAAAAAAGATTATGAATAGAAAGAAACTTAAATAAAAAATTTTTTAGAACAACAAAATTATCGACAAAACATTAACAGTAATTCAAAAGAAACAATAAAATTATACATAAATAATATAAAGAAAAACAAACAAACACAGAAACAACC